GAAGAAAGCTTAGTGGCCTTATGCTGACGGGGGCTTCTCATATACTCTGTATTCTGGGAAGAGTGTCAGTTTGAACTCCAGGTTTTCTGCTCATTTACACAGATTGAATCAACAGTTATAAGGGAGTTTCTCACTTTGTCTTTCAACCAATGGACTAAGACCTGCCCCCTCAATCAGATTGCCCTATAACAACCAAGAAAGAAACATTTCTGACCAATGAGGACTGTGCAATTTGGACCAATCAGAAGTGTACCAATTTGGGTACCTCATTTACATAATACAGGAATCAGAATGGAAACCTAATTGGGAACCTGAATGGGAACTTCCTCTATAAAAGGCAGCCTCCCCTTTGTCTCAGCAGCACAATTTAGGTTACTCCTTGAACCTGTGTCTCCAGGGCTGCAGTTCCTTTTGCTCAAACAGTTTTTATTCTTTATTACAGTCTAAAATTAATTCCGGTTTACGTCTAGAATTAAGAGTCTAGGCTTCTGGGACTTCTGGCCAAGATGGAGACATAGGTGGAAACACTATGCCTCCCTCCTCAGACAACCAAGTTTATGATCAACAAATATTTCAGAACCAGAATGCAACCAAAACAGAGAAAATTAAACCATACGTAAGTCTGACAACAACGAATCATTCTTCCAGACCGGTAAGAGGGGTAGAGTCAGTGGCTGGCAGAGAGGGGTCGCACAGGAAAAAGCGGCAGACCAACCCAGGTGCGCAGGCGGAGGTTGGCAGATCCCAGGCGTGGGGTGGCTGGCTGACCGCGGTCACACATTCACGTGCAGGTAAACCAGGCGAAGGAGCAAGCAGTGAAACAGACTGCGCAACCCAGGGCCCCAGCGTTGGTAAATAAAGCCTAAAAACACCAATCAGAAAAACTTTCGGGGTCGAGGTGCCGGGAGAGGCTTTCAGGTTCACAGAGAGTTCGTTGAAGAGACCCACGGGGTTCTGGGGGGTGTACAAGCCCACACATCTGAGAACTAGCACCAGAAGGGCCCAATTTGCTTGTGGGAAGCAGCAGAGGGGACCGAAATCCAAGAGCAGAAGAAAAACGCCATTGCCCCTCTCTGACCCTGCCCCCACATACAGCATTACAACCCAGCAACCTGGGTTGCGACGCCCTGGTGAACACCTAAAGCTCCACACCTCATATGTAACAAGTGCAAACAGACCAAAACATTATGGCTCAAGAAGAAAAACAGCTCAAAACCCCAGAGCCAATACTTCTAAGTGACCAAGAGATAGCCAACCTATCAGATGCACAGTTCAAAACACTGGTGGTCAGGATGCTCACAGAAGTGGTTGATTTTAGTCACAAATTAGATGAAAAAATGAAGGCTACACTAAGTGAAATGAAGCAAAATGCACAGGGAACCAATAGTGATGGAAAGAAAACTGGGACTCAAATCAATGGAGTGGACCAGAAGGAAGAAAAAAACAACCAAACAGAAAAGAATGAAGAAGCAAGAATTCAAAAAAATGAGGAGAGACTTAGGAACCTGCAGGATATCTTTAAACATTCCAACATCTGAATTATAGAGGTACTAGAAGTGGAAGAGGAAGAGCAACAAGTGGAAAACTTATTTGAACAAATAATGAAGGAGAACTTCCCCAATCTGGCAAAGGAAGTAGACTTCCAGGAAGTCCAGGAAGCTCAGAGAGTTCCAAAGAAGTTGGACCCAAAGAGGAACACACCAAGGCATATCATAATTACATTAGCCAAGTAAAAAAATGAAGGAGAGAATCCTAGAAGCAGCAAGAGATAAGGGGACAGTCACCTACAAAGGAGTTCCCAAAGACTGTCAGCTGATTTCTCAGAAGAGACCTTGCAGGCAAGAAGGGGCTGGAAAGAAGTAGTCCAAGTCATGAAATTCAAAGACCTACATTGAAGATTGCTCTATCCAGCAAAGCTTTCATTTAGAATGGAAGGGCAGATAAAGTGCTTCTCAGATAGGATCAAGTTCAAGGAGTTCATCATCACCAAGCCCTTATTATATGAAATGTTAAAGGGACTTATCTAAGAAAAAGAAGATAAAAAATATGAGCAGTGAAAGGTCAGCAAACTCACAGTTATTAACAACCACACCTAAAACAAAAGCAAACTAAGCAGGCAGCTAGATCAGGAGCAGAACCATAAAAATGGAGATAGATCACATAAAGGGTTAGCAACAGGAGAGTGGGAGGAGGAGAGAGGGGGAGAAGGTACAGAGACTAAGTAGCATAGATGGTGGGAGAAAAAAGACAGGAGAGAGGACAAGAATAGTATGGGAAATGTAGAAGCTAAAGAACTTGAGACACATGGACATGAACTAAAGGGGGGGAGTAGAGGGAAGGGGTGTGAAGGGTGGAGGGGAATGAAGGGGGAGAAATGGGACAACTGTAATGGCATAATCAATAAAACATATTAAAAAAATAAAAACCACTCAGAGAATTTTCCCTGGGCTTTGACAAGGCACAGTCACCTTTGATTAATAAAAAGAGTCTAGCGTTCTGGCCCACCGTTTACTAGCTATGTAACTTAAGACAAGTTATTTAAAGTCCACCTTGATTTCCTTATCTATAATTTTTTTTAAATGATGATGATGATGATACCTACTCCATCCCTATAAGGTTAAGAGAAACAAATTAGAAAATATATCTGAAGGCATATTGTAAACTATAATGAAGTATATTAATGTCACCTATCATAATAATTTCAAGTACTCTGGCAACTAAAAGAAAGGGAAGACATGGGACAAGAACCAAGTTTCATTGTTATGAGAAAAAGAGACTCAGCACATGCATATTTATAGGACGAACTGACTTAGCACTATAGTTCTACCACATCATCATCCTTAATGGACCTTCATATGAGAGACAGAGGTTAGGAGCACAGACTCTAAAGTCAGACTATGGGTTTAAATCTGTCAACTGAAAAATAATATTGACTAGTTGTTTTGTCACCAAAAAAGGATTGCAATCCAGTGCACGCAGACATGGTAAGCCACGTGCATACTCTGACCTGTGTGCCATGACGGGGGGGGGTGGTATTTATAGAAAGGAAAGGAAGAGAAAGAAAGGGGAAATTAGAACCATAGAACTTTATTATAGAGTTTTTCTGGTAGGGTTCAGGTGATCACATAGAGCAGGGATGTCAAAGTCATTTTCACTGGGGGCCACATCAGCCTTGCAGTTGCTTTCAAAGGGCCGAAATAATTTTAGGACTGTATAAATGTAACTACTCCTTCACTGTTAAGGAGTTGAAATTACATTCAGCCCTTTGAAGGCAATCGCAAAGCTGATGTGATCCCTGGTGAAAATGAATTTGACATAGAGTGTGAGAACTTTCAGAAGCCCTAACTTCTTTCAGAGACCCTTCCAACCGCTTATATGTGGTTAAAGTTGCAGTTAGTCTTCATCGAATCCCAGCTCTGCTACCTGACTTTTATGCACTTCCGTGTCCTCATCTATAAAATGGGGATAATGATATAATCTACCTCACCGAGTTGTGAGGATTAATGCCTGAACACTTAGAACTGTTTCCAGTGTACAATAAATGCTCAAAAATGTTTACAATAAATACACAAAAATATTGCCATGTGTAAGCATATCTAAGTTACTTGTCAACATTTTAATACCTGGCATTTTATATTAGCCTGACATTAGAAACTTGCTCATCATGAACAGGGTAACCAGAATATGGGATGGTCAAGTTTAGTATAACTTCCAGCTCCTCTTCAATTGGATTTCAAGTGCTTCCTTATTTGTTCTGTAGTAATGTGAATTTATGAAACTGAAAGACATTTTTATAATCCTAGGTATTTGAACTACCATAAAGGTTCAGTGTTACTAGAGAAACTGCAGATAAGCTATAGATGTTAAATTGTAAATAAGCATCATATAATATTTAACATATGAAGTATCCACAAAATGAATTTATAAAAGTAAAGGGTAAGACAGCAACAATACAATACACTGTATTTTGATGTTCTTTAAGATGAGGGAATACAATATATCGACCAAATTCAAGACTCTGGAACTACTCGGACCCGGATCAGTATTGGGATTCCATAGTCCATACTTGATCTCTACACGGCTAATGTAAAAATCCACACGAGAATTCACTTACTGAGTTGTAACGTACTCTCTGGAGATATACTGAAATAGAGACAGGAGTTCTACCCTGACATTCTAAGCAAGTAAATTACAAACCGATGCAAAAGCAATTCAAGATACTTTCTATATGAAATGCCTCATGTAGTGTCTTGCACATTATATGTTACTAAAATGTAACTGTTAAATTGTTACTTTCCCACGCATGCACCCTGACCAGGGAAGGAACCTGCAACCTAGGTCTGTGCCGACCTGGAATGGAATCTGCGACCCTACAGTATGGGGGACAAGGCTCCAACGGAGCCACACCCGCCAGGGCTGTTACATTAATTTTATTCTATGTCTCTTCCCACTCCCCCTTCCCAAGTTTTGTTCTTTACTGTAGTCCCAGTGACTGCAACCTAGTGTTTATTCAGCAAATACTGAATATGAATAGAGAAACCTAAATATCAAACACTTATTGTGTGCCCACCTGTATTAACTCAATCCTCACAAGCCATTTAGGTCAGTCAATACTTGAATCGTCCTCATTTTACAGATGAGCGAACTGAAGCACAGATTATGTAACGCACCAGAAACTGAGGTCAACTAGTGAACAGAGAGGTGGAATTCAAACCTATGCAGCCTAAGCCTGTATTGCCTCGATGCATTATTAATAAATCGGTAAAAAGTAAGTAACTACCATAGAGGGAACCTACAAGTAGGACTTCCTAAGAATGAGCTTTTTCATGAATGACAAATATTACGTTTAGAGTGAAATTTAAAATTTTCAGCGCTCATGGTAGTAACATGTGGGACGATAGAAGAGCTATTAAACAACTGACTCACACGTGGGGTTTAAACCACGTCAACCGAATCTCCACAGTCTGATCTACCAACTATCCTGACGATCCCGGTTTTACAGAACGCGCTTGACGATCTCGACAGTGGTTTTAACTGTTGCAGAACCGGAATCAGGACCCGGGAGGGATTCAGGATAGACGACCCATCCCGGCATGCACCACAGGCCCTGGCGACCACGCCTCCCGGCCTGCTCCTCGGAGCGCGTTTGCGCCCCATTGCCCGGAAGCACCGCCTTCACAGTGCATGCTGGGACTTGTAGTCTCTCGCCCCCCGTCCCGGCCCGCGGGCTGAGGTCTCCCCTCCTTGAAGCTGCTGGCCCTGGCCCGCGCGGCACCGACGCGGGGAACGCGCTTCGCGCTGACTCAGCGGCGGCTGCGTTAGCTGGGCCCTCGCACGCTTTCCCTTCCTGGGGCGCCGACTCCACCCGCCCGCTTTTGCTAGCTTGCCGGCCCGGCGCCACGCAAGAGAAGGCGCCAGGGGACGCTGAGCGGCGGGAGGCGCTTGGCCCCTGCCAGCTCGGTCTCCGGCGTTAGCCCTGCGGCAGTGGCGGAGAACGACAGCGACGAGGACAGGAGCCGTCCTCCCCTCTCCCTGCGTGCGGCACCGCTCCGTTTTGCTGATCGGTCTTCGGGAGTACAGGCGGGGAGGCAGGATGGAGTGATAGGGAAGGTGATTTGGGGGGCTCGTGGACGGAGGGACTGGGACCTGGGGAGGATGGACTGGGAGCCGGCTCGATCCGAGCAAGGCTGCGTGGAAGTTGACTGTAAGGACCAGCCCGGGGGCCCCCACGCTGGGGCGGGGTGGGGGGTGCAGGCGGAGCCCTCCCTGGCGGTGCGCCTGGGGGCTGGGCAGGCTGGGTGGGGGTGCGTACTACTTGTGGCCGCCGCCGAGCGTGTCCGGAGTGCGTGGCCGCCCGTTGCCGGGTGTTTCATCACCCCCATTGCCACGAGGCTTCCTTTAGGGGAGGATCCGGGGGAAAGAAGAGGACAAGGCCGGCCGAGGAGGGTCAGCATCAGTAGTGGACCCCAGTTTAATAAACATAACCAAGCCCGTTTGTAATAGTTACAGCATGTCTCACCTGGAGAGGACTTAGGCTTGATCGCCCGCCCCCCCCCTACTCCCGCAACCAGAACAAAAAAAAAAGTTATTTCTCTATAGTAATTTGCCGGCAGGGACACGCCATCTCTTTTCGACCCTTCCTCACAATTCTGCAGGAGTGATGTTTTCTGTAACCAGAAGAAAAAGGAGTACTTTTTCAAAGTGGTAATTAGTTTTTACTGGAGGAAATTACGTTTTATTAAAGCGACTTGTCAGCGTGGTGTTAAAGCTGGAAAGGTTCAGTGTTGGATTTTGAACAGCTTTCAGTAGGCGTGGAGGAATTTTTCCATGCTGATTCTTGATGTAATGGCTATCCAGGAAAAGTTAGGGCTTAGTATTTTAACTATGTTGCTCCTATTTCTCCATAACATTTGCTAGATGCGTAATTGAGGTGTTTATCGCATTATAACAAATGTTTAAGCCTGCAAGTCTGCCTTGTTAGAACTTGTGTTCACGCGCAGCCTTTTACGGGGACATTTGTCACATTTTCACACAGGCTGTAGCTTTTAAGGTGTTTGCACACAGTAGATAATTTCCCATGTTCCATTGCATATTGATTATTATCCAGGTGCCATCTCTGAAGGATTATTTCAGTACTGACAACTGTAACAAGTTTATGTTTCCTTAGGTAGTTGTTTTGTTGCCATGTTTTATGTTAGGACCACTTACTGCTCCCTTGGTAAAATCAAAGGGACTTGACCAAGCTTGAGGAGTTTTCCCTAAAACCATGTCAAATTCAAGGAATCTTTAATAGGGCTTCTCAAGCTGGGATTTCTAGAAGCTCAAATTTGTCTTTTATAACTGTGTGTGCATTTTTCAGGGGAATTTTCTTGTCATTTTTGGCTGGGAGTGGGGGCAGGATGGGTATGCCTTTGCATTTTCCCATCTGTTTAAAATGCCAGGGTACTCCTATGGTATGATAAACCTAGAATGCTCCAAGCAGTTCCCATCCTTCACATGCCTAGTTCTGAATTGTAAAGAAACCTATTGAGGGCTTACACTATGTGCTAGACATGCTTTCCATTTCTTACCTCATTGAAGCTTTACAACTTGGAGGCAGATGCACTTTTTCCTGTTTTGTAGAAAGGGTGCTCTTTCACGTTTTGCAGCTGTTCACATGGCCCCAGCTTGAAAATGGTAAGATTGGAGTACAAATCCAGGTTTTTCCAAATATTGTATCCTACGGACACAGCAATAAGTATTCAAGACAATTCTTGCCCTTTAAGGTTCTTGAGAGAAAACTAGTAAGCAGGCAGTGACTATCAACACTTAGGAGGGGCATCTAATCCATTTTGGCAGTCAGACAATAGGGGTCAGAGAAACCTTGAAAGAGGTGACCTCTAAGCTGAATTCTGAAGGACAGGCTCAGGTTGACAAGTCAAGAGTTGTGTGTACTAAACTGAAAGGCTGAATACCACTGGCCTTGGATGGGGGTGCGGATTGGTGAGTCATTCACAAGTGGAGTTTAATCCTGAGGGCAGTGGAGAGGTACGCTGCCTTTCTGTAGTCTGCTTTTTTCAAGGCACTTAGCATCTATCCTGATTTACGGTTTGATTCGGGCATGTTCAGAAGACAAAATAGTGTATTGTAGGAAGGGGTCCTCTTGTAGCCTCACCAATTTAAATGGCTATGCCCACCCCTTGGGCTCTTTACCTCTTTAGGCTCTGATCTCTTCTGTTATGATAATTAAGCCAAACAAAAAATATTGAGGCCCCGCAGCCTTTTAAATGGGAGTAATAAGGCCTGGTCTTCCTATCTCTTAGGCCTTAAGAGAATGCTTGTGATTTTCACATTAGAGTTTGTGCCTTGCTTCCTCAAATCTGCATACTGTCAAAAACCAAATTGTCTTTGGGATTTATCATACTCTTATTTGAGAATGTTAAGACACTGTATTGTGAAAAAGTGCCTTACTTTCCAGAGGAATTTAAAAAGATTCTAAAATAAGAATAGTATTGAGTTTGCCCATTTTTATAGCTATTATTAAAGAACACTTTGTCAAATACATTTCTAGAGTTGGCTGGCAAGAACAGTGATCTGTAAAAAAGCTACCTCATTGTTCAAAAGCTAAATTAACCTGTTTTTTTCACTCTCCTATTCCTTCCTCTTTCTACTTCTCTCGAAGTACTTGTAGACCCTCCGCTAAGGGTATTGAACTCTGAGGTCACTACTTAGCCAGGCATTCTATTTTTTTTAAGCTTCTGGTATTGATGTATGGAAGTAGACAATTATAATTAGCATAATAAAATCTGGATTTGCCATTTTTTAAGTATAGTTGCACAGTTTCATTTTTAAGTATGTCCTGGGGATAGTGCATAATAACATTGCATAAATTAGATGCTTCTGTATAAAGTAGAAAATTACTTTCTATACTTTTGATGGTCTTGAAAAATAAAATTTGAGAACCTTAATGGCATACCTTAGATTTTAGAAACTACACATTTGTGGAATATTTAGCAGGCTCATTCTCGACACTTTAGGCTCCTTTAGTTGTAATTTGGATAGTTTCAAAAGAAGTTTTGGGTTTTTTTTATTTTTTACTTTTAGAAGGGTAGAGAGGGAGAGAAACATCAATCATTTCCTGTCAGTATGCACCCTAGCCTGACTGAACCCACAACCCAGGCATGCGCCCTGACTGGAATTGAACCCACGACCTTTTGCTTTGTGTGATGACGCCCAACCAACTGAGCCACACTGGGCAGGGCTCAAAATAAGTTTTTTTTTAATACTTAAACTTCTTTCCATAATGTTGTCTCCTTCTTATGGTATTCTGGATAAGTATGTATTTTGTTTATCAAGTACTGTTTCCTTTCCACGTTTTTGTGTGTCCAGATGTTTGTGGATTCTTCTGTGGGAACCCAGGGCACATCTGTTGGAATCGGAAGACTCCAAGTATAGCAGCAGGCATGGATGAACAGGCTCTTTTAGGACTAAATCCGAATGCTGATTCAGACTTCAGACAAAGGGTAAGTTAAGTCGGCTTAATTTTTTAAAGCATGTTACCACAGATTTGGATTAGAGCACTTGAATACAAAGTACATATGATAAAGGTTTAATTTGGGTAGAAATAAATAGAGATAATCAAATTTGAGGTATAGGAATACGTTCTGAATACAGAAACAGTGAAGGTCGTGATTTATTTTCTGTTTAGCTGTCTCAGTAAAAGTATTAAGATCTCATGTGACTCAAGGTAGGTCTTTGTGTCACATCAGTCATTATTGATAATTATTTAAAAGTTGTAATGCAAAGGACTGTTGAAGGGACTTTCCATAGTAGCAGACATGCTGATGTTATTTTCCCATCACATGGCTTAGGGTACACAAGTTGTTTAACCCTCACATTACTGATAGTTAGCATCCTTGTTATTTAGTCCAGGCTGGCGTGTAAGTAAGCAGTTACGATATGCCATGCCTTTGGTTACTTAAAGTGATCACATGGAATCCAGTATGAAGTGCTGGGATATTTGGGTAAAGGTAAACAATTAAACATAATGTAGTCTACACTTATAATTATGACTGTAGCTGGATGATAAAAGAAGAATGTAAAAAGCAAGCCTCTAATTAAATATTAAAAGACGTGGGCAGTTGAAAGTATAGGATAAGTGGAAGGAGAGGCATTTTCTTCTTTTTACTTCTCAGAGCAACGGATATATTTTATAAATGAGCTAAATGAAGTTAGCAGTTTCACTAAATACTATAGCATTTTTTTTTGTTGTGCTTTAAGCAGAAATTTTTTTTAATAGTAGAAAAAAATCCCAGGTCCTTTTTAACATAGCACCATGTACGTGCCTCTGCTGTTAAATGAGCGACCAGCCCTACAGATGGAGGGAAATAACAGTAATTGAGAATTCAATATCTAACTAATTGCAGTGTATCTGTCCAGCTGGTTAGGACATCAAAAGACATTACAAGTTCAAGTCTTCCTTGCATAGACAGATACGCCCTTTCATAGAAGTTGAGGCGAACCCCTTTAAAGCCCTAGTCACACAGTTCAATATCCCAGACCTTTACCTTTATCCTGGCTTGGTACTGCGTGGTTACTACAACTGAAAGCCTTTTAGTGTTCAGGTGTTAGCCTTCTCTGTTGTTTTTGGATGTTCCTGTTGGGAAGTTGATTTTTGTTTTGTTTTGTTTTTTATTTACCATCTGCCAGATTTTTTTTTAATGTACCATGATTTCCTTTTCAGAAAAGTAAAACCAATAAATTTTTAGTGTCTTTAATGCAGAAGTTTGCTTTTCATCAATAAAAATGGGTTCTATAAGTCACAGGCATATGTGGTCCAGGCTTGATCTGATACCTCCTTAAACCAGCTTAAGTGACAATTAGGATGAAGAAGAAGGAATCTTAAGGAACAGTGAGTTCCGATGGTCCTGATGTTGGGGTTCGGTAGTGGGAACTTAATTCAGCTTGGTGGTGAGGGAAACAACTGCCAACCCACGTAGTTCTGTTTCCTACAAGGGCAGTAAAAGTAGGTGAACTGACTCTGTTGCCACTTAAAGACAGTACACCATTAAAAAGGTGTGAGATTGCAGAACAATGCAATAAAAGCTTTGATTTGTTCATCATTGCCAGAAGAAAATTTTTTTAATGCTGGTAATATGCATTTAGAGTAAAAAAATCTAGTTAAACACTGCAAACTTTCTAGCTAGTGAATAAGTTTTTCTTGTGAATAGAATATCTGTCTTTGGCTTAAAACTTGCTATTATTTAAAGAAAATGGTATGTTAGTGACAATGCTAGCAGCTGAATCTCCCATCCCCCTTTTTTTGGTAAGTGAAATATTAGGTAGTAATGCAACATGCATGATTAACTTCCAACTTTTCACCTGCCCTGACCCTTGAGATAGTTCTGAAGGAAACCCTAGGTTTCGTGAAATATTGTTACATAACAACTGAACTATATTCTTTTACAGCTGCTTATCTTGCTTTATTTTTATTCTCTGAAGATAATTATTATTTACACTTCGGATAGTATTTGGGGATCTCCATTTCCACACCTTCGTTTATCTTGGTTCTTTGCCAGTGGCAGCCACTGAGAACACAAAGAAAACCCATTCTTTCATTCATACAATTACATAATACAGGAAACTAGCACATAAAAAAGTGGGATTTGGGGGTTGGATTTTTTTAACCTCTAATCCAAAGAAAAAAATAATTGTACATCTTGGCCCAGTATATATGTAGTATACATAAATGTATGTAAATACATATACAAATTCATAACTAAAGCAAGTTCCACAAAATAATAGTTATTCTTGCTAAGTGCAGTGCACTCTGCTATTTTTTATTTTTTATTCTGTTGTTTTATTTTTTAAATTGTTACTCCAGACTGATAAAATTGATTTTATCACCAGTGGGACACAAACCACATTTTAAAAAAAGTAATTGACTAATCAAGATGATATATTATAGAATTGCACACTTGAAATTGATATAATTTTATTGACTAATGTCACCCCCAATAAATTCAATTAACAAAAATAAATTAGTATACCGACTAATTGAAATTAGGTTCCACTAATGCTTAATATTCCTTCTACTTGGTGTCAGGGTTTGTATCAGTATGCAATTGCTTTAAAAATCATCTAGCAGTGTTTCTAGTTTATATGTAAACTTTTGGCTGTCTGTGTTTATGGTTCTTTTCACAAGTTGTTGAGATTACTATTTGTCCAATGTCACATGTGAAACCTGCATCTGTCATTGATGCCATTCTCGACATGCCAATGGAAGAGTCATAGAGGTCACTCCTGGTTTTCCCAGCAGCCTCGTAGAGAGCACACAGGCTCTTAGAGCAAGCCCTGAGTTCAGGAACGGAGGCACGAGAAACACATTGCCTAAAGCTTTGACTTTGGCAGTTATCTGAGTACTTTCTCACATTTATATCACACAGTTTTACTCTGATTTTAATCTCACCTTTTAGGGAATTTACATAATATGGTTGAATTGAAACAGTTTCCTCCGTTTAATTGTAGACCAAATGGCATATGGAGTATGCTTTGTCTTTTATGATCACCTCTTTAATAGCCTATTTGCTGTTAAATAGGAAAAATACCCTTTATATAGCATTTTAAATTGCTTTTGACAAGCACTTGTATGTTTTCTTTGTCAAGCCACCTAATAATCCAGCGAGGTCTGACGGCCGTTTTCGTGTTGTCTCCTTGGCTGTAGGGAAACAGGTTTGAGTATCTAACTGATGGATTTGTCTTTTATTTAACCTGTTTTCTAGAGTTATCACTAAGTGGCACATACTGAGAAGCCCAAATTCAACATTTTAGCTATTTTTCTTTAGATTCACTGATTTGTTACAGGTTCATAACTCACAGAATATTTGTTTACCATCAATAGGGCATTGAGATTGACAATCCAAATGCATTTTTGCTTTGCAATCTTACAGGCCCTGGCCTATTTTGAGCAGTTAAAGATCTCCCCAGATGCCTGGCAGGCGTGTGCAGAAGCTTTAGCTCAGAGGACATACAGGTAATGAAAACAAAATTTACATGGCTCTCAGAATTTAAATTTCTGTGAACTCGATGGGACCGTTAAATGTACCTGTATTTGGAGAATGTTTCCATGTAAACATTTTGTGATTTGTGTTTTGGGAAACCACTCAGGATAGAAATTTTTAAAAAATAGTAAACTCATAATTTTGCCATTCCAAGATTGATCTTCTAATGAAACTATCCTTTGCCTTGTGCCATATACCTGACCATAGATCCCAACTGGAATACAGTAGAGTAAAGATTCCTTATTTTCTTAAAATGTGAATGATAGCTAGTTTCTAAAAAGTTGCTAAAGGAGGTAATCATAAATTTTATTTTAATTTAAAGTATATATGCATTCAGTTGCCAGTCTTGATGCTGGACCAAGGTCTTTTCTTGTGTACATGCTTCGTCATTCTTACGTCGATCAGACCCCATAATCCATCCTCCGCAGTGCCCACTTTGGGTCTCTGTAGCGCACTGAGGAACAGTGAATGTGGGTTCCTAAACTTTTAGTTGTTTGCCCCCACCACTCAAAGCCTTGGGGTTATTATCTAGCTGACGTCACACACATACAAGGATTTCGCCCCTGCAATGTGAGTTCCTGGGAAGTCTTTCTAAAGCATTCAACTTAATTTTTACAAAAATAAGAACTCTCATCACAGTCATGTCAGTAGTTCACATAATAATTAACTAACTTAATTACTAAAGCGATACAACTAGCATAGTTGTAACGTAGGGGAACACCACTGACCGGCTACAGGCTGAACACCTTGCTTTTGGGAGGAGTTTCTGGCGGTCAGTGATGGCTCCTAGCAGAGTTCTCAGCACGCCCTGAGTATCATCAGTCACTACATTTTTACGGCCGAAACCAAGTGGTCCATTTTAGGGAAAAAGTTGATTTTGAGAACATCTGTATGTTTTGGAGTAAATAAGGACTAGCTGTTAAGTAAAGGCTTCATATAGTTGAGGTTTTTTAAAATTTTTTATTTATTGATTTTAGAAAGGAGGGGGAAGAGGGAGGGAGAGAGACACATTGATTTGCTGTTCCACTTATTTATCTACTCACTGGTCGATTTTTGTGTGTGCCCTGATGGGGGATCAAACCTGCAACCTTGGTGTATTAGGGTGACTGAGATATCAGGCCGGGGCAGTTTATTTTTTAAGTAGGAAATTGAAGTCTTGTTTGACAAGTTAGGGCTTCAATGCCATCCATGATAAGGATAGAAACCCTAAGGTCTTAAAAGAGATGCTAAATAAACCTAACTTTAACCAAGATCAGACTTCCAGTCGCGATGGAGGCATAAGTAAACACAGCTCGCCTTCTTGCACAACCACAGCAAAAATTACAGCTAGACTACAAAACAACTAACATCCAGAATTGTCAGAAAATTGAGCTGTATGGAAGTCCAACAGCCAAGAAGTTAAAGAAGTCACATTCATCCAGATAGGCAGGGTTGCAGATGCAGAATGGGCTGGCCCCTCATCCATGTACAGTGAATAAAAATCAAGAGGAATACCTTGGGAGCGAGGGATGCCAATACCAAACCAGACCACCCAGCCCAGGGTTCCAGGGCCAGGAAGATAAGTCCCCATAACTTCTGGCTGTGAAAACCCGTGGGCATTGGGGCAGTGGAAGAAACTGAGGGATTCTCAAGAGTCTCCTCTTAAAGCTCCTACAAGACTTAAGACTTACACAGTCTCACTCCCCTTGGGCTTCAGCCTCAGGGCGGTAGCTGGAAGGGAGAAACTTCCAGTGGTGAAATTGAAGTGTCTGGCTCAGGGCAAGTGTTGATGGACAGCTTCCTCCCAAACAAAACTTCAGGGGCCAGACAGCAGCATTGTCCCCTTTCTGATCCCTCCCCACACCAAGCCACAGAGCAGGGGTGCAGTATGGGAGACTCCAGCAACCTGGTACACAGGGGTTGCCCTGCCGTGGGGATTACCTAAGGTTCCACCCCATCCAACTTACTGATGCACTTTTCTACAATTGGCCACACTACCAAGACGGAGTCAGAGCAGCTCTACCAAATACATAGAAACAAACACAGGGAGGCTGCCAAAATGAGACAAAGAAACATAGTCTAAATGGAAAAAAAAAAAAAAACAGAACAAAACTCCAGGAAGAGAACTAAACAAAATGGAGATAAGTAATCTGTTACATGCAGTGTTCAAAACATTGGTTATTAGGATGCTCAGGGAACTCATTGAGTACTTCAACACCGTAAAAAAGACTCCGGCAAAAATGAAGGTTACACCTAGTAAAATAAAGAAAAATTTACAGGGAACCAAGAGTGGAGTGGATGAAGCTGAGAATCAAATCAATGATTTGGAACATGAGGGGGAAAAAAAACATTGAATCAGAACAGCAAGAAGAAAAAATTCAAAACAAGGCTAGTATAAGCAGCCTCTCCAACAACTTCAGATGTTCCAACATTCAAATCATAGGGGTGCCAGAAGGAGAAGAGGAAGAGCAAGAAATTGAAAACTTGCTTGAAAAAATAATGAAAGAAAACTTCCCTAATTTGGTGAAGGAAACAGACATGCAAGTCCAGGAAGCACAGAGAGTCCCAAGCAAGATGGACACAATGACGACAACACCAAGACACATCATAATTAAAATGCCAAAGGTTAAAAATAAAGAGAGAATCATGCAAGCACCAAGAAAACAGCAGAGTTACCTTCAAAGGAGCTACCGTAAGACTGTCAGCTAATTTCTCAAAAGAAACTTTGTGGGCTAGGAAGAACTGGCAAAAAGTATTCAAAGTGATGAAAAGCAGAGACCTACAAGCTAGATTACTGTATCCAGCAAAGCTATCATTTAGAATGGAAAGGCCGGTAAAGTGTTTCTGAGACAATGTAAAGCTAAAGGAGTTTATCATTACCAAGCTGTTACTATGTGAAATGTTAAAGGGACTTAATTAAGAAATAGAAGATCAAAACTATGAACATGAAAATGGCAGTGAAGTCACAACCACCAATAATTGAATCTAAAAAACTAAGTTAACAAGCAGAACAGAAACAGAATCATAGATATGGAGATCGTTTGGAAGGTCATCAGCTGGGATGGGGAAGGGAGCGAATGGAGAAAAAGGTGTAGGGATTAAGAAGTACAAATTGATACTTAGGAAATACATGGGCATGTTAAGAACAGTATGGGAAATGGACCAAAGAACCTACGCATGACCCATGGACATGAACTAAGGTTGGAGGGAATTGCTGGAAGGAATAGGACCAGGTAGAGGGGAGCAAAGAGGGAAAAATTGGGACAACTGTAATAGCAAAATCAGTAAAACATATTTTTAAAAAAGAAATACAAATTGGTAGGTACAGAATAGACTGGGTGATTTTAAAAACAGTGCAGGAAATGGAATAGCTAAAGAACTTACATGAATGACCCATGGACATGAAGTGGGGGTACCAGAGGGTATCAGGGGTACCAAGTGGAGGAAAGGAAAGGGGGACAGTTGGGACAACTGTAATGGCACAATCAATAAACTGTGCGTGTGTATGTATAAAATATTTAAAAACCTAATAACAACTTTTAAGAGATTAAGTTTCATCTTATGGGTGAAAATATTTTGTTTGGTTAATTCTTGTTTTCTAAATGAGAATAACATCTCCAGTCTTGTATTGACCAGTTAGCTTTCTATATGAAAAATTTGTTGCATGACTAAGCCTGGCTCAAACGAGCTATCTTGGAAGAATAGATTGTTACTCACTAAAGGGACTTTGTCAGAGTTTCTAGCTGGCTCACTGCAACTCTGGCTTACCCCTTAAGAGACCATTGAGAGTCCATAATTGGTGGATACTGATTTTTGCTCCCTCTTTTTAAGGGCAGTATATTTGTAGCTTGATTTTCTATATGAGTTTTGACGCTAGACTGCCAGTCCAGGTGACTCTGCTTATTTTAGATGTGGCTGCAATAGAACTGTCTAGGTTGAATTTTAAGTGTGACTGTGGTGGCCATCAGTGATTTAATGCAGCCTCTGGCAGTCATTTTAACACCTGGGGTTTAGTAGTTTTCCAGGAAACCTAACATCTGGAACTTAGAGGGTGTGTCTTCCGTGCAAAGCGCTGTACTTAAGGTGATTCTTAATTTATTTGGTTGTTCTGCTTGCTAGATTTAATGGGGATATTGAGTATTGTATAATGTTCAAAATTATCTTACCTTTTTAAACAAGTAGATATAAATGTAATAAATAAGGTCAGTAAGTAAGAATGCATGCCAAAGGTCTGATTTGAGAAAATTTTTAATTATGTTGTTTATTGATATTTTGACTTTTTTCCCAATTTATATTCTGTTTATCTAATTTTCTTTTTTCTTTTTCAGTGATGATCACATAAAATTTTTCTGCTTTCAAGTATTAGAACATCAAGTGAAATATAAGTAAGTCATTTTCTCACTATTGGACTCTGAGATTTGTGGGGAGAGGCCTTTTTTTTAAATTAGCTTTTCCCTCTTTAGAGAAACCATAGTACAGGTTGTAAATTAACACTGTATGTCACATCCAGTTTATAGCTGTATTTTGATTTGTCCCAAAAGTTTTAAAAATACTGAATTTCTTGGTAACATATAGAAATTCAGCCATTTCAACAGGAAGAAAAAATTAGATTTCCAGCTTCTCTGAAACTATCAGAAGCTCTAGCAACACCCAGCCTGTCTTTCTACATGACAGCTCCCTGCTGGGGCTGAGTGGCAGCAGGGGCACTTGTGTTCAGAGCCCCACCTTAACTGAGAGCCAGGAGTCCCTGCTCAGAGGACCGTCCGTCTGTCTGTGGATTTGTTCTGTAATCCACGGAACTCCGACGTGGACACACTTCCATTCAGGAAATGTGGCGCTGCCGTATGTGCAATGTAAACTGGAGCGCAAGTCAAACTACTAGTAATACCAGTATTGACACCCCGTCTGCCAACCCACATCCATTTTTTCCTTAACGCAGTGGTAACAGAGAAGCAGTCTCCATTTATTTGGGGGAATTTTAGATAATTGTATATCATACAAATTTTCCTTTTCGATTACAATAAGGCGTTTATTTTTAAAACTACAGATCTCAGATACAGCCTTTATTATTATTCTCTTTTGAACAGATACTCAGAACTAACTACTGTTCAGCAACAACTAATTAGGGAGACGCTCATATCCTGGCTTCAGGCTCAGGTAAAACTGTAATTTCATTCAGTACCTCAAATTACTAGGTATTTAACTTTTTATTTTTGCAAGAATTTGCAACTTTACCTCAAAAATGTTGGTCACTTATCCTCCATTTGATCCTATAGCTTTTTTAGAAAGTGCTTCTTTTAAAGATCATAGATTGATGAAAACTTAGCACTACTTTTATTTTTTTAATATATTTTATTGATTATGCTATTACAGTTGTCCCATTCCCCCCCTTCATTCCCCTCCACCCTGCACACCCTCTCCCACCCACATTCCCCCTCTCTAGTTCATGTCCATGTGTCGTAATTTCTTTAGCTTTTACATTTCCCATACTATTCTTGCCCTCCCCCTGTCTATTTTCTACCTACCATTATGCTGCTTATTCTCTGTACCTTTTCCCCCTCTCTCCTCCTCCCACTCCCCTGTTGCTAACCCTCCATGTGATCTCCATTTCTGTGGTTCTGTTCCTGTTCTAGTTGTTTGCTTAGTTTGCTTTTGTTTTAGGTGTGATTGTTAATAATTGTGAGTTTGCTGTCATTTTACTATACATGTTTTTTATCTTCTTTTTCTTAGATAAGTCTCTTTAACATTTCATGTAATAAGCACTTGGTGATGATGAACTCCTTGAACTTGACCTTATCTAAGAAGCACTTTTTCTGCCCTTGCATTCTAAATGAAAGCTTTGCTGGATAGAGCAATCTTGGATGTAGGTCCTTGCCTATCATGACTTGGGATACTTCTTTCCAGCCCCTCTTGGCTGTAAGGTCTCTTTTGAGAAATCAGCTGACAGTCTGATGGGAATTCCTTTGTAAGTGACTGTCCCCTTATCTCTTGCTGCTTCTAGGATTCTCTCCTTCATTTTAATTTTGGCTAATGTAATTCTGATGTGCCTTGGTATGTTCCTCCTTGGGTCCAACTTCTTTGGGACTCTGAGCTTCCTGAACTTCCTGGAAGTCTATTTCCTTTGCCAGATTGAGGAAGTTCTCCTTTAGTATTTGTTCAGATGTTTTCCACTTGTTGCTCTTCCTCTTCCCCTTCTGGTACCCCTATAATTCAGATGTTGGAATGTTTAATAATGTCCTGGAGGTTCCTAAGCCTCTCCTCCCCTTTTTTTTGAATTCTTTTTTCTTCCTTCTTTTCTGTTTGTTTTTTCTTCCCTCTCATTCAGTCCATTGATTTGAGTCCCAGTTTTCTTTCCATCACTATTGGTTCCCTGTGCATTTTCCTTCATTTCACGTAGTGTAGCCTTCATTTGTTCATCTAATTTGCGACCAAATTCAACTAATTCTGTGAGCATCCTGATCACCAGTCCTTTGAATTGTGCATCTGATAGGTTGGCTATCTCTTGGTCGCTTAAAAGTGTTGGCTCTAGGGCTTTGATCCGTTCTTTCATTTGGGCCTTTTTTTTTTTTGTCTTGTTGCACTTGTTACATATGAAGGGAGGAGCCTTAGGTGTTCACCGGGGCTGGGCAACAGGCTCACTGAGTTGTGACACTATATGTGGGGGCAGGGTCCAAGAGAGAACAATGGCGTTTGCTCCACTCTCTGTCAGATTTCAGTCCCTTCCGCACTTCCCCCAAGCAAACTGGGCCTTTCTGGTGCTAATTACCATGTGGGTGGGGTGTGTATGTTCTAGGATCCCATGGGTCTCTCCAATGAACTGTCCTAGGAGTCTGGGAGTCTCTTGGCACCTCAACCCCCACAGGTGTTTTCAGTTGGTGTTTTGAGGCTTTATTTCCCTGCGCTGGGACCTTGGGTGGCATGGTCTGTCTCTCTCCCCAGTTTCACCTGGTTTATCTGCATGCAAATGCGGGGCCTCCCAACCCACCAGCCGCCTTGCACACAGTGCCTTGCTTCACAGTCACTGTCTCGCTGGGTCTGCCTATTGCCACCCTGCGCCTGGGGTCTGCCAGCCTCCACCTGCATGCCCAGGGTCCACCTGCTGCCATCTTATGGGCCCGGTGCCACCACTTTTTGTGCCACGACCCCTCTCCACTTGGCTGCCTGACTCTGCCCTGCCCACCGGTCTGGATGAATGTGTCTGTTTTAACTCCTTGGTTGTCCAACTCTCATACAGTTCAATTTTCTGTCAGTTCTGGTTGTTATTTTGTTCTAAATTGTTATTTTCCTTATTTTGGTTGTGTGAGGCAGCACAGTGTGTCTACCTACGCCTCCATCTCTGCCAGAAGTCCAACTTAGTGGTAATTTTAAATTGTATCAGTAATGGAATCTATTTTGCTTTCCATGACACTTTGTGGAAATGTTAGTCTTAAAATGTAATTTGTTTCAATACTTGACAAAAGCAACTTTCTGTTCACTCTTAAAGGTGAGTCCCCTCCTACATGGATGCAAAAGTACAGCCATGTAGGGAATATAGTCAATGAATGACATTGTAATAACTACCTGTAGTGCCAGTTGGGTACTGGACTTATAAAGGGGATCACTTTGTAAATTATAGAAATGTCTAATCATTATGCTGTACACCTGAAATTAATATAAAGTAAAATGGAATGTCAACTGTAGTTGAAAACATTTTTAATGATAAATTTAAAAAATAAAGGTGAGCCCTCTTGAATAGACTCTTCACAAAGATCTCTTTCCAAAGGGGCAGAGTTCTTTATCACAGTATGATCTCTTTTGTTAATTTTAGCTAACCTTAATGACATATAAAGCAATTGTATAGTTAGAATTTTTATTTTCCTATGAAGAACAAGTAGCTAGACACAAAACAATTGAACTTTTTCTTAGAAAAATTATAGGAATCAGTAAACCTTGCATATGGAACTTTCCTCTGAATGTTTGAGAATGAGAAGTAATAATTAGCTCCTTTGTTCATTTGATTGTTCCCCATCTGCACGGTTGCCTGATTACTTTGGAAAATTTGAAGCACAGGTAATCTAGACCAATATTTTTTGCACAGGTAATCTAGACCATGTTGAAGTGTGATGTGTTTTGCCTGTTGATGTTAAATAAGACAACAATGTGTTCGAATCTTTTCAATTTAATTTAATTTCTTGGACTGTTTCTCTGATTGTCAGATGCTGAGTCCCCAGCCAGAGAAGACCTTTATAAGAAATAAAGCAGCCCAAGTGTTCGCCTTGCTTTTTGTTACAGAGTATCTCACTAAATGGCCCAAGTTTTTTTTTGACATTCTCTCAGTAGTGGACCTAAACCCAAGGGGTGTAGATCTGTACCTCCGAATCCTCATGGCTATTGATTCAGAATTGGTGGATCGTGATGTGGTACATACATCAGAGGTAAGTAGTTTCTTGTCAGTTTCTAGTTTTTAATGTAAATTTTATAGGAGATAATGGGCACATAAAAGGAGCGTGAATCTTATTTTTGAGACATACATTCTTAATAATTACAGATTGACTCAACATTTTGAATTTTGTTTTACAAAGGAAGTTAAGCTTTGGATTTTTCTCTCCCAAGTATAGGTTTAAATTAGAGCATTTCTTTAGATTTTTTTTAACTAGGTGAGCACTTTCTTCAGTGAAAAACAAATTTATTTCCTCCCATGAATTTGTAGGAAAATGTGGTCTGTATTCACTGCTGTATAGGCGTTGAGGAAGAAGCGTTGCTTGTGAATCAGCGCAGGATGCTCCAGGATTCTCAGTCACGTAGCTCTCACCTCAGTCCAACCTTCTCCTTGTTCTTAAAGAACACAGTAGAAATAGCTTAATTCAAGTGTGTATAATAATTTTGAGTTTGCTGTGTATCTAACATTTATAAAGATTATCATGCTTTGAAGTTATTGCCATTCTTTTTAATCCTGTTTGTATTGAGCAATAACCACATGCCTCAAATTTTTAAGTAATACATATTTACAGTTTGTGTTTAATAAAAGATTGAGTCTGGCTTGAGGAAAAGAACAAAAAGAGGAAATAGATACATCAGATATGATTTTAGAGCTGATAAATAGGAAATGTGTTGACAGGTCTGGAAGTTTAGTGATGAGGTAATTTATTGTGTGCAGTTAATTATGATGTGAAACATTATTTTGTAAGGTAGTGTTTTTGTTTTGTTTTGTTTTTAGGAGGCTCGTAGAAATACTCTAATAAAAGATACCATGAGGGAACAGTGCATTCCAAACTTGGTGGAATCATGGTACCAAATTTTACAGAATTACCAGTATACTAATTCAGAAGTGACGTGCCAGTGCCTTGAAGTCGTTGGGGCTTATGTGTCTTGGATAGACTTATCCCTTATAGCCAATGATAGGTAAGTGTGTTTTAAGAATATAAACCTGCTAAATACAGTATATGAAACTCATGAGTTTGAAAACATTATAACAATTTTATTATGTTGCCAGGTTTATAAATATGCTGCTAGGTCATATGTCGATAGAAGTTCTACGGGAAGAAGCATGTGACTGTTTGTTTGAAATTGTAAATAAAGGAATGGATCCTGTTGATAAAATGAAACTAGTAGAATCTTTGTGTCAAGTATTACAGTCTGCTGGGTTTTTCATCATTGACCAGGTCAGTAAACCTGTGTATAAAATTCTAAAAATTGTTAGAACAAACCAGTATAGGTAGTAATTTGAATATGCTTTCTCTTTTAATGTTGGAAACTCTTCTTGGGATTATAATAATGAAACACCGTATCCTGAAAGCCATAATGTTTCTGTAGTATTCATCTTAGGCAGTGGATTGTACCAGTTCTTAAATGTGAAAATCTGGGGTGGGCTTTCAGGTGCACACTTCTAACAAACTCCAGGTGAAGCAGATACTGCGAGCCCACAAACCATACTTGAAGTAGCAAGGGACTGTGCTCTTTACATGACAGTGCATTTTGACCAAATGTGCACTTATAAATGTTATATTTTCATACTTTTGAATCATTACTCATTTGAGCTATTAGGATTTAACCCCAACAACTCTACGTGTGGTAAATTAGTAATTTAGATACATGGTTTAAAGGTTGTTATTTTAATTGTACCTGTGACAGTGATAAAGAATCACTAAGAAATGTTCATATTGCCAATAGGTCAGCAGCAGGACTCCAGTGCGTCCTTTGTTGACAGACGAATAGTATCACTTTCTTACTTCACTAATAATCATCTTCTTTAGTCTCCGGTAAAAGACATAAAATGGTGAAGGTGAAAATCTATTTCTATAGGATAACATCATAAGGATAATGAATGACACACCAAGTTTGCGTTTTGGCTCCAACACTGCTGTGACCTCAGGCAGGTAACTGTGATTGCAGTGTCTCTGCAGCACGGTGAAGGCTCCACTTCACTAGTAGCAGGAAGCACCGTTGTAAATTGTTGCACGTACTGTAATGTGACGGCACCAATGTTAGAGCATATTTACTAAGCTCAAAAGTTTAGAGAGAAGGTTCCTAAAACCACGCATCCCATCTGTGTTTTTAAACTGTTAGAAGTCAGAAATGTCTACAGGACTATAGTCATTGAAAACGGTTGCTTTGAAGAGTGCTAGTGTATAATTATGGTAGAAGAATTCACATTCTAAAAATTTCCCAGTCGAAAGGGTAGAGTTGTCAAATGTCTCATGTTTAAAATTGAATCCTATAATTGGCACTTGATTCATAAGTTTTGGGTTTTCCCTCCTATTTCACATGGGTGGTTTAAATTGAGGACTGTTTAATTCCTTTTAGGAAGAAGATGTGGACTTCCTCGCCAGATTTTCTAAATTGGTGAATGGAATGGGACAGTCCTTGATAGTTAGCTGGACTAAATTAATTAAGAGTGGGGATATCAAGAATGCACAGGAGGCACTGCAGGCTATTGAAACGAAAGTGGCACTGATGTTGCAGCTACTAATCCACGAGGATGATGATATATCCTCCAACATTATTGGATTTTGTTATGATTACCTTCATATTTTGAAACAAGTAAGTCCTCATTCTAACTTTTTGTTCAGTGGATAATATAGAAATCATAAAGGATTGGAAAGTTATAGGAAAAGTGAAAATAGCCATAATTCTACTACATAATGACATTTGTTATTAAATATTAATGTTTTTCCTTTTTCTTTTGTTTTTTAAACTTTTTAGCCAGAAAACAAATTGCTAGGTTCAAAAATTTTTAAGACTAACAAAAAGCTTCAGAATTAATTATAGGCTTAGGTTATATTTTCATTTTTAAATTGTGTTTATTTCTAAATACAGTAGAAATTTTGTTAAATACAGTTTATTATTTTAATTAAAATACATAATATTTTATAAATAATTTTTTACAATAAAAATCTCCCCCAGAGAATCACTTTGAATAAGAACATAAAAAGGCACCCTGGCTGGTGCGGCTCACAGGATTGAGCACCAGCCTGCAAACCAAAGGGTCGCTGGTTCTATTCCCAGTCAGGGCACATGTCTGGGTTGCAGGCCAGGTCCCCAGTAGGGGGCATGGGAGGGGCAACCACACATTGATGCTTCTCTCCCTCTCTTTCTGCCTCCCTTCCCCTCTTTCTAAGAGTAAATAAAATCCTTTTTAAAAAAGGAACTTTAAATGGCAAGGTATGTATCTCTATTTTATAGCATGTAGCCTTTTTAAGAATGAGTAACTTAGATGAGAGAACCATTTTTATTTATATTGAATTCGTTAAATCAAGTCAAGCTTAAAATGATTTTTTTCCAAACTGAGTTTAGCTTCTATTTGTTATACATATAACATATGTCTGCATATGTACTTTAAGAATTTTTCGGCAGTGTCGAATAGTATGAAGAAAGTTCTTACCACTATTGGGAATCCCACTGTGTTTCTCATAATAGATTCTTAGGCATTCCTGCCTTGTTTAAAAACAAGGTGAGATCAGACTTTACTGTCCTATAACCTTCTTTGCTGAATGCTGTAAGTATCTTTAAAAATCACATTCATCCACATGTCTTTGCCTATGTCGAGTTATTTATTAAATGTGGCGTTGCTAAATCCTAGGTACATTTTTTAAAATACAAGGTGGGGCAAAAGTAGGTTTATAATCCTGGGTATGTGGAAGAGTCTATCTTGTGTTATTATTTATTAATTACTGTATTATTTTGCATATGAACAACTGTGAACCTACTTGTGCCCCACCTTGTATAGAAAGGAGCTGCCAGACTGCCCTCCAGAAAAGTTGTGTGCGTGTTTTTAACGGTGTCAGTCAGTTAGAAAAATAGTCAGATAAGCAAGTATAACTTTAGGAAACCTAATAAATTATTGCTTACTTTTTAACAGCTTACTGTGCTCTCAGATCAGCAGAAAGCTAATATAGAGGTAATTGACAACTTTTTAATTCTTTTAAATTGGTAATAGTATCTGTCTGTAGTCTACCTCAAAATAATAGCTTAATTTCTAATTTTTGAAATGAAAGACTGACAAAGGGTATTTTATTCTTAATTATAGGCAATCATGTTGGCTGTTATGAAAAAATTGACTTATGATGAAGAATATAATTTTGAAAATGAGGTAAGAATTTTGCATTGAGCCCTGGCTGGTGTGGCTCAGCGGATTTGAGTGCTGGTCTGCGAACCAAAGTGTCACTGGTTCCATTCCCAGTCAGGGCACATGCCTCAGTCATGGGCCAGGTCCCCAGTAGGGAGTGCGTGAGAGGCAACCACACATTGATGTTTCTCTCCCTCTCATTCTCCCTCCCTTCCCCTGTCTAAAATTAAGTAAATTTAAAACCAAAAAAAAGGAAAAAAAAAGTTTAAAGAATTTTACATTGAGGAGAAATCAGTTTTATAGCAAATTAATATTTCAAGTTTTGATTATTTTAAAGTCCTTTAACACAAATGTTGTAAAAATTAATGTGACTTATATTCACCAACTTTAGGTAAAATTAATGGAAGCCTCCTAATTCTTCATATTTGGTATTTGGTACCTTTTTAAAATAATCTTTTTAAAAATACGTTGTAGCACTGAACTTTATGCAATATTGACAGTATTTTTGGTGATCTTGCCTTACTTTGTATTTGACAAGAGTGGTACGGTGAGGCCCAGTCAGTGGACCTCGGATCATAGGTGTATACAGCAGACTGGAAATGAAGTATTTAGCTCCCTGGGCTTGTTCTGTTAGGAGTCTTATCCAGGGTTGCCAGAGAATCAGCTTCCCATGAAACACGAGGGCCATCAGGTGCTTTCTAGTGACTCAGTCATGGCATCTACTGTTCAGCTATGTGCTAGTGTCCTATGCCTCACCTGGGGCACTCAAAAACCTTGAACTATAAGAGGATAGCGGTGATGGTAAACAACACACTACGCACTTACAGAGTGCCAGGCTCATAACGTATAATAGCTTCAGTCATACAATATTACTAAAGTTGTAACAGTGGACAGAGAGATACAAGGAATGTAAACAGTGCTGAAGTTCTCACAAGACCCAACATAAACAAATTCTGACTCTAGACTCTTATCCTTAAACCTCCTTCCCATACTGTTTCAGGTTCTCGGCCTTCAAGGTTTAGGCCTGTGTTCAAAGATACTTGTGAGCAGGAGGGGAAAGACTACTAATAGGCCTGGTGCAGTCTCCTATGTAAATGAATATTGAGGGAAAATGGAAGTATTAAATTTGTAAATGCAGAAAACTGTCAACTCACCATTTACGTGGGTTTTAAGGTTTTAATTTTTTAAATGAGAATTTTAAAATACATCATAGGGGGAAGATGAAGCCATGTTTGTAGAATACAGGAAGCAACTGAAGTTACTGCTGGACAGGCTTGCTCAAGTTTCACCAGAGTTGTTGCTGGCTTCTGTTCGCAGAGTTTTTAGTTCTACACTGCAGTAAGTTTGCTACGTTTTTTTAACAGGTCACCTCTTCCCTTTTCTCCCTGATGATCCCCTAGTAAGTGATTCACGTGCTTTATTGATGTGTCGACTTACTGAGATCCTGTGTGTATCTCTGAAATAATGCACTTATCACCCTGATTTTCTTGATCCTTGAGGGGAAGTACTGTTTTTTGGAGTATAAACAGTAAAATGTATGGCGTCAGTTATTTCTAGTTTTGTTATATAAATTATATTGCCGGACAAAAAATTAATAATTGTTATGACTTCTCAATAATTAAAGAGGCTTTCGTTGGTGTCTTTTGATTCTGTGCATCACTGGTTGTATAGAAAAAGTATATGTTCAGATCTCAGTGACATATTATACCTTGGCAGGAACTGGCAGACTACTCGGTTCATGGAAGTTGAAGTAGCAATAAGACTGCTGTATATGTTGGCAGAAGCTCTTCCAGTATCTCATGGTGCTCACTTCTCAGGTGATGTTTCAAAAGCGAGTGCTTTGCAAGATATGATGCGAACTGTAAGTATACTGAAAATAATTTATTTGAATATAATTTTCTGTTTTGACTATAAGCTAATGGGAGGTTCTTGTTAAAACTTAGTATCTATTAATACTGGAGCATTTTGATACTACAGCAAATAAGGATGGATTTCATAATTTTCTCTTGCTCCAGTTGGTAACATCAGGAGTTAGTTCCTACCAGCATACATCTGTGACGTTGGAGTTCTTCGAAACTGTTGTTAGATACGAAAAGTTTTTCACAGTTGAACCTCAGCACATTCCATGTGTACTAGTAAGTATACATTTTACTCTCAATTTTTGTAATTTTCCACGTGTTTCAGCTAATGAGCAGATAGTGTTCTGTTTTTCTATCTTTTATAACATTTTTTAGAGCCAAAGGTTCTCAAAAACTTTTGAACACACTGAAACTAACCCCCCTCCGTTTCTTTTTAATTTTCTGACTAATCAGTCACTTAAAACAAGTCTTAGGGCCTATTTGTGTGCTGTGTAGGTATACACACATGTACACACACATCTGGTTCCTGCCTTCTAGAAGCTAAAAAGTAAAATTTGATGTGAATAAAACTGTATCACAGCAGCAGCAGCAGCAGCAAAAGTCTTAAATAGGAGCAGACAGAGTGAAAGTGCCCCTGTTTCTTCAGATGGCTTTCTTAGATCACCGAGGTCTGCGGCATTCCAGTGCGAAAGTGCGGAGCAGAACCGCCTACCTGTTCTCTAGATTTGTCAAATCGCTCAAGTAAGTACAAAATCTCAGCTACTGTGTTTTAGTCTTATATTTAGGATTATTAAATATGACCTGTAAATTATTCTTTAAGAGCCTGTGGTAGACTCATTTTTTTCTGTTCTATGGCTTTTTTTTTTTCAGTATTCCTTTTTTGTATCATGTTAGGACTTCTCATTCATTTACTTTGTTGATTAAAAAGCAGTTTGTTTGCATAAACTATATATGTAACACTAATCACTAATAACATAATATAATTATTTAACAATTTTATTGCTGTGAATCGGTAGTATGTGACTTATTTGAAATTCTAAAGAATATATTCCTTGGAAGTACATTTTTTACCAATTCGTTTTGATTCTTTACAGTTTTTAGTATGAAAACTACTGTTTCCTAGACTTATAAGGTGGTAATTAAAAAATACTGTTGCTAATCTTTTTAAAATTATATTATTATAGCAGTTTATTATTGCTTTAGACACTTCAGTAGTATAAAAATTATTATTAAGATGTAATGACTTGTTACATACATGTTATTTTAAGATGTTATAGTTCTAAAGTAAAACATAAATTCTATTTGACATTTATCAAAAAGGAAAAATAGGATCAGAAAATGGAAAGCTATTACAAAACTAATTAGGAAATTGAATAAACTTTCGTGAAAAATAAGGTGGGGGAGAATTTTCCACAGCTGTTACTTCAGCTGAATGCACATGAATCCAGGTCTGTTAATGATTTACTTGAATTCAGCTTCCACATCCATATAAATAATGAAGGAAAAATTTTAAGAAACGACTGGCAGAGGGGAAATGAGGAAATCTTTCATTAAATACGCCCTTTGTCGATGCAGGTACCCTGCCATCTGATTTAAATATCAGACTTTTACATTTAAACTCTTAAAATTTGTATATTTGGGTATCAACTAAAATTTAAACTCTCAAAAACAATTCACTTTAAATAAAAACATTGAACTTCAAAAGACTATAATGAGCCCTGGCTGGTGTAGCTCAGCGGATTGAGCGTGGGCCTGTGAAGCAAAGGGCTGCTAGTTCGATTCCCAGTCAGGGTACATGCCTGGGTTGCGGGCCAGGTCCCCAATGGGGGATATGTGAGAAGCAGCCACACATTGATGTTTCTCTCCCTCTCTTTCTCCTTCCCTTCTCCTCTCTCTAAAAATAAATAAATAAAATATTTTTTAAAAAAAGACTATAATGATAAACAAAAGTGTTTCACCAAATTGACTGAACTGGGAAGGAAAGGATCAGATTCAGGTAACTTTATTAAAAGATCGTATAGTTAATCTTTTTTTTTTTTTGATGTTTTATTGTTTATGCTTTTATAGTTGTCCCATTTTTTTCCCTTTTGCCCCTCTCTACCAGTCTGCCCCCCTACTTCAGTAGTCAGTCCATGTCCGTGGGTGCTTCATTTATGCTCTTTGACTGATCCCTTCACCTCCTTTCTGTCGGTGCCCACCTCCCTCTCCCCTCCGGCAGCTGTCAATCTGTTATTCCATGATTCCATGCCTTTCCTTCTATTTTGCTCATTAGTTTATTTTGTTCATTAGTTTCCTCTTATAAGTGAGATTATATATTTGTTTTCAATTGACTGACTTATTTCACTTAGCGTACTAGTAGTCCTCAGTTCCATCCATGCTGTCACAAAAGGCAGGCAGTCCTTCTTTTTCCTGCCGGAACGTTGCGTAACTGCACCGCAGTTCTTTTATCCCCTTATCTGCTGATGGGCACTTAAGTCCCATGTGACTGACTGAGAACTGAACTTATTTAGTTCTGCCTTAAAGGGGGACTTGATGTTTTTAGCAACTTTTCAAGCACTGTTATTTATGTTACTGTGATTTTTCCTTTTTGCCTTTACTCAGTAAACAAATGAATCCTTTCATCGAGGATATTCTGAATAGAATACAAGATTTATTAGAGCTTTCTCCACCTGTAAGTATCTATTCTTCTAAGTTACAGATTTTCCCCAAATTTTGAGACTATGTATTCCTTTAACACTAATGCTTCTGTTGACATCCTTTTTTTCAAATGTGGATGATGTGTACAAGGGTTAGTTTTGTTTACCAAAACTGTAGAGATATAGTAAATAAAATATAGAAATAGGACTCAAAGAGCTGAGTGATAAATTTAGCAATGTGAGGTATGGTTTCTCCCTCTGTTCAGTTTTGGTGAAGTGTTTTAAGGAGAAGGGAAAATTTGATTTCCAAATTAGTACTGTGATCATATTAGCCATTCTCGGTGACTGCTACTATTAGACTGAAGCTTTTCTGTGTTTAACTTTCCAGTCTTGAGATTTAAAAATTTTAATGCTTATTTTTCTGAATATTTTGGTTTCCATTTCAATAGAAAGATTTACCTTAAGGTACTTTGTAGGCACATCTTGACTGATAACATGGTTTTGTGTAAAGCAAAACATTTACATTGACTCAATTTTTTATTTTGATAAAAATTACTAAAGCTCCCACTTAAAAAATATTGAACAAAAATTAATACTTCTGTTCTTTTTAAGTTTAAGTATCAGTATTTAGGGTACACAGGTTATGTAATTTCACTACATGAAATGTTGTATGGTCATATTATCTGGTCAAATTATCTTAGCCTACATACTATAAAAACCGGTATATTAAAGTACTTCACCCAATTAGTGCTAGTTTTCCTTGGCAGTTCACAGTGCTATTTTGGTACTATTTTTTGAGTACCTTGTATTTATGTAGCTACTTTGTGTTCTCAATTCCTAGAGCAGTGATTAGTACCTAGCAGTACTTAGGACTAAGTACTTCTAAATCAGGACACTTCTTTTTTTTAAGAGATGAGGAACTCTTATAATAAAACCATGACATGATTTATCTTAAGACTGGGTTTTATGTATTAATAGGGAGCTTGAGTTTTTGACCTAGAGGGGGCGTGTGATATTTTCCCACAATCCTCTTGGCCTACCTAACTACATAAATGTAAAAAACAACAAAGCTTATTAATGAAAATTGACCAGTAGTGGGATATTTGCTTCTGCCTGAATGAGGTCTGGTTTTTTATTTGCAGTCACAAGTTCAAACATTTTAAAGTAGCAACTGTTGTGTATGTGTGTATGTATTTATTGTATGGCTTTTGTTGTTATTCAACTCTTTAAAATACTAACTTGTGTGGCCTTTGTACTAGCATTCCAGGTACCTTGGTATACCTCATCTTCAGTCTCCTAACAATCTCAAAAAAAAAAAAGGGATTTTACAAGAGAAAACAAGTGAAAAGGCCAATTGAGAAACAAGTGATTATAACTGATCATTATGACCATTTGCAAAGTCTTAACAAGGGTGGAGTTAGAGCCATGAGCTTTTGACCTCTGATTCAGTTTTCTTTCTGTTACATGGTCGTGGGAGAAACTGTGTTTTTTGCACTGAAGTACTCAGTGCAAAGTACTCAGTCTACATTTTTATAATGAGTTGATGTGATAGATTTTATTGCCTCGCTTTTGGACAAGGAAGAATTTCAGTGAACCTAAATTTCATTTTAGGAGAATGGTTACCAGTCTTTGTTGAGCAGCGATGATCAACTATTTATTTATGAGACAGCCGGAGTGCTGATTGTTAATAGTGACTACCCGGCAGAACGGAAGCAAGCCTTAATGAGGAATCTGTTGACTCCCCTAATGGAAAAGTTTAAAATTCTTTTAGAAAAATTGATGCTGGCACAAGATGAAGAAAGGCAGGCATCTCTAGCAGACTGTCTCAACCATGCTGTTGGATTTGCCAGGTGAGTGATCGTGACTAAAGTTACAAAGCGAGTGTATCTACACAAATAGAACCATTTGCTTGGCTGGATCGTTTAGAGTTGGGCATATATCCATGTTTCCAAAACGGGGTTGTCTAGAGAATTGTCTAAACCTTTCTTTTCTAAATGTAGTGAATTACAAGATTTAGCTGAGGAAGTGAATAGATTGTTAACATTCTGAATTTCTGCCTTGACAACTGAGTCCTTAACTTGGACTTCTTTGGTGTAAATTGATTGTGTATTTAAGGAGATTAGCTAAAGTGTTTGTACACCAAGGCCATAATGGGACGTCGTGGTTTAGCCTTGGAACCTTAAAAAGAAAGTCCTGGGGCTTCTTTTTAGCTGTGGCATTGTCTTCTGAAGACCATCTAAGCTGCTGTTTCTTTCTCTCCACCAGTGCTTTTTACAAACAAACAACAACAGCATGAAAATTGTAGTGATTGCTAATTAGAAGCTATGGAGAGAAATTGCTCTACAGAATATTTCAGTGCAAAAGCTGATTATCAGTTGTATAAATAACTTGATTCTAAAGACTCTTTTCTAAATTTAAATGGGTAGTTTGCAGATTGTCTGGTACGACAGCGTAGTCATAGTGTATGGTGTATGGATTTTTTCCTGCTTTACAGTAGGATTTTAGTATAACTTTTAGGTGGATTCAGATTAGAGAGATTGTTGTAACTACATCTCATTCATTTACTTCAATTTGAGCCCTTTCTGGAATGGTCACTGGAAGCCACAGTTTGCAAATAACTGTATTAAACTAAAGATTAAAGTATTGTGACGTGGAAAATAAAGAATTGTCTTTATCAGTTTTGGAATTTGTTGTACTTTGTTTTTTATTACTTTATAAAACTTTTAAAGAATAAAGCTAAAAATAGTTTCCTGATTTTGCTTATGTAGTCGAACGAGCAAAGCTTTCAGCAACAAACAGACTGTGAAACAGTGTGGCTGTTCCGAAGTTTATCTGGACTGTTTGCAGACATTCTTGCCAGCCCTCAGTTGTCCCCTACAAAAGGATGTTCTCAGAAGTGGCGTCCGCACTTTCCTCCACCGCATGATAATTTGCCTAGAGGAAGAAGTTCTTCCATTCATCCCATCTGCCTCAGAACACATGCTCAAAGACTGTGAAGCAAAAGACCTTCAAGAGTTCATTCCTCTTATCAACCAGATTACAGCCAAATTTAAGGTACTGCAAACCTCAGAGCACCTCCTGACTTAGATTTCCTGCGAGATTAGGTGTATTTATCTTTAGATATATTTTGGCATTTGCCCCTTTAGTTCATTTTTGTGAATATGAGTTACTTGAGTGCATGGATAATGGATTTTTGTCATCCCCAGTGTTTGGCACAGTCCCTGACACAATGGACATGCTTAATAGATGTTTTAATAAAAACAGACGTTGTCTGCTTTGTGCAGCAGAAGAAAACTATTAGTCTATTGTTTTAGAAAAGGAAATAAAAACAGCTTTGAGTACTAAATTTCTAAAGGGGTAAATAAAAAGCATTGTAATTTGGTTGCCCACACAGGAGTTTTAAAGTAATTCAGTACTAAAGCTAGTTTTGTGTATAAGGAGATTTAAGTCAAGCATTATATAAGCTGTCTATTAAGAATGGCTAACATATAGTGCCTGTGTTTAAAATACATTCTAAATATTTGCCTGTATATTAATTCATTCAATCCTTATAACAGCCCTAGGAGATAGGTGTTGTAGTTTATAAATGAGAAGCAAACATAGAGAAGATAAGAATTACCCAGTGGCCCTGGCTGGTGTAGCTCAGTGGATTGAGCGCAGGTCTGCAAACCAGAGGATCGCGATTCAATTCCCAGTCAGGGCTCATGCCTGGGTTGTAGGCTGGTTCCCTGCAGGCCAATTCCCAGCAGGAGACGCACTAGAGGCAACCATACATTGATGTTTCTCTCCCTCTCTCCTTCCCCTCTAAAGATAGATAGATAGATAGATAGATTTTTTTTTTTAAAAAAGACACCTTTCTTTGAAAAAAAAATTACCTAGTGGCTTATAAACCTTGAGAGCCCAATCATACAAATGCACTTATAATTAAGCAATAGAATTCATTTCTTGAAATTAAATAGAAAATATTCCATGTCATTATTTGATTGTGAAGTATTTCCAACTCCCTGTTACCTTAACCTGGATCTTGAACTATAGGAAATGGGTTGAATATAGTGATTTGATGATTTTGATACTGCATATGCCATGTACATTTTGTTTTAACCTTGTCATTTGCTAACTGATGTAAATGTCAATTCTGAATAGAAACTCTGAAGAAACATTTTACTACATGGTTTTCTCTAAGTTATATTTATCAATATTCATTTTTTAAATTGAAGTATAATGGACATATAACATTACATTAGTTTCAGGTATACAACTTGACGAATCAGTATTGGTATACATCGCAAAATGGTCACCACAGTAAGGCTTATTAACAGCTGTCACTAGACATTGTTACAGAATTTTTGTGTGATGAGAACTTTTAAGATTAACTCATCTCAGAAACCTTCAAGTATGTAATAAATGATTTTTACTAACCTTCATAATAATTTTTTTACTCATTTTCAAAATAACAATATTTATATTCAGATACAGGTATCTCCATTTTTACAACAAATGTTCATGCCTCTGCTTCGTGCAATTTTTGAAGTATTGCTCCGACCAGCAGAAGAAAATGACCAGTCTGCTGCTTTAGAGAAGCAAATGTTGCGGAGAAGTTACTTTGCTTTCCTGCAAACAGTCACAGGCAGTGGAATGAGCGAAGTCATAGCAAATCAAGGTGGGGATGCATGTGGTGCCTAAATTGTCTGCTGAAGTCCTTGTCACAATTCTGTTTCTGTGTGAGCAAGAGCTAGTTGACGTAAACACTAAACTTTTGGAGTAATGTGTGTTGGCCCCTAGGATGACAGCTCATTATTTCAAGGAGAGAATTACTTTCAAGTAGAGACTGTATAGTTAATTGGTATTTAGTTCCCTGTTTCCTAAGGCAGTATTCCATAATTGGTCCCTCAGTATAAACAGCATGGTGGCAACTGCCAAAATGAATCTGACCATTGAGTTTTATTGGTCAATTTGCCAATTTTTGAAATTAAAAATGAATGGGAATATAGAGAGTTTGGCAAAATAGGAAATCCAGAGGGTAGGATAACAAGGGAATAGTGATTTTTCAATGTTTTATAATTAAAATTAAGGAGCACAGTTAATAAAAATTGGGGGATTTTATCAACTCTGTAAATGCTTTTGTCTTGTTACTGTATATGGAATGAGAGCTTCAGCTTGCCTTTCTAGTTCTTTTAGCAATTAAATTGAGGTTTTTTCTTCTCAGGTGCAGAGAATGTAGAACAAGTTCTAGTTACTGTGATTCAAGGAGCAGTCGAATATCCAGATCCAATTGCACAGAAAACATGTTTTATCATCCTCTCCAAGTTGGTGGAACTCTGGGGTAAGGTGATTTTTTTTAAGATTTTATTTATTCAGTTCCAGAGAGAGGGGAAGGAAGGGAGAGAAAAAGGAAGAGAACCATCGATGTGTGGTTGCCCCTCACACTCCCCTCCTGGGGACCGGACCCGTAACCCAGGCATGTGCCCTTACTGGGAATCAAACTGGTGACCCTTTGGTTTGCAGGCTGGTCCTCAATCTACTGAGGCACACCATCAGGGCAGATGATTTTTTTTTTAAACTTCATTCCCCAGCCTGCTTCCTAAGACTCTTAGAGACAAAATGGAGCCCTTGCCCTAACAATAGCTGGGAGTTAATTGGCCTGAGCGATAAATTCTTTTTATATAAGATGAAAATTTGACTTCTCTTAACAGGCGGTAAAGATGGACCAGTGGGATTTGCTGATTTTGTTTACAAGCACATTGTCCCCGCATGTTTCCTAGCACCTTTAAAACAAACCTTTGACCTGGCAGATGCACAAACAGTATTGGTAAGCACCTAGGAATCTTTGTTTACCTTGTGTGGATGTGATGCATTCTAACTCGCAGTCTCTTCTTCAGTGCCAGGTTGACTATGTTAAATTAGGATTCTCTCTCTCTCTTTTTTTTGTTAGATTTTATTTATTTATTTTTAGACAGAGGGGAGAAGGGAATGAGAAAAAGAGGGAGAGAAATATCAATGTGGTTGCCTCTTGTGTGCCCCCTACTGGGGACCTGGCCCACAACCCAGGCATGTACATGCCTCCATTGGGAATTAAGCCAGCAATCCTTTGGTTTGCAGGCCGAGCTCAATCCACTGAGCTACACCAGCCCGGGCTAGGATTCATTTTTAAAAGGTTAATGATACTGTACAAACTTTGTGTGGATTCTTACTAAATCTCACTGTTAAAGTTGACTGTATAAACTCCAGTTCCAGAAACTCCAAGCCTCACAGGGGAGTTTGTTAGAGAGACCAACAGGGTCCTAGAATGTACACAAACCCATCTACCTGGGAATCAGCACCAGAGGAGTCCAATTTGCTTGTGGGTAGTAGGGGAAGTGACTGAAAGGTGGCCGAGAGCTGAGCAGATGGCACTGTTCCCTCTTAGACCCCTCCCCCACATACAATGTCATAACTCGGCCATGTGGGTTGCCCTGCCCTGGGAAACACCTAAGGCTCTGCCCCTTATATGTAATAGGGGTGCTGAGAAAAAGAAGAAATGGCCCAAATGAAAGAACAGATCAAAGTTCCAGAAAAAATACAACTAAGTGATGAAGATACAACCAACCTATCAGATGCACAGTTCAAAACACTGGTTATCAGGATGCTCCAGGAACTCACTGGGTACTTCAACAGCATAAAAAAGATCCAGGCAGCAATGAAGGTTGTATTATGTGAAATAAAGAAACGTCTACAGGGAGCCAACAGTAATGGGAAGGAAACCAGGACTCAGATCAGCAGTTTGGAGCAGAAGGAAGAAATAAACATCCAACCAGAACAGAATGAAGAAACAAAAATTCAAAAAAATGAAGAGACTTACAAACATCAGGGACAGCCTGAAATATTCCAATATCCGAATTAGAGGGGCGCCAAAAGGAGAACAGCAAGAAATTGAAAACTTATTTGAACAAATAATAAAGGAGAACTTCCCTAATCTGGCAGAGGAAGTAGACTTTCAGGAAATTCAGGAAGCTCAGAGTCCCAAAGAAGTTGGACCCAAGAAGAAACACACCAAGGCACATCATCATTACATTAGCCAAGATTCAAATGAAGGAGAGAATTCTAGAAGCAGCAAGGGATAAGGGGACAGTCACCTAAAAAGGAGTTCCCATCAGACTGTCAGCTGATTTCTCAAAAGAGACCTTACAGGCAAGAAGGGGCTGGAAAAAAGTATTTTAAGTCATGAAATCCAAAGACCTACATTCCAAGATTACTCTATCCAGGAAAGCTTTTATTTAGGATGGAAGGGCAGATAAAATGCTTCCCAGGTAAGGTCAAGTTAAAGGAGTTCATCATCACCGAGCCCTTATTATATGAAATGTTAAAGGGACTTATCTAAGAAAAAGAAGATAGAAAATATGAGCAGTAAAATGACAACAAACTCACAGCTATTAGCACCTTAACCTAAAAACAAAAACAAACCAACTAGAAGAGGAACGGAATCACAGAAATGGAGATCACATGGAGGGTTATGAGAGTAGAAATGGGAGGGTGAGAGAGGGGAAAAGGTGCAGAGAATAAGTAGCATGAATGGTAGGTAGGAAATAGACAGGAAGGTGAACAATACTATAGGAAATGAAGAAACCAAAGAACTTACATGTACTACCCATGGACATGAACTAAAGAGGAGGAATGCAGGTGAAAAGGTGCAGGATGGAGGGGAATAAAGGGAGGGAAATGGGACAACTATAATAGCATAATCAATAAAACATATTTTTAAAAATAATAAAATCCAGTCCTACAGTTAAACAACCAACCAACTTTTTGCTAAACAAAAAAGTTGCTACAGTTAAACAAAAGTTGTGAAACAACCAACTTTTTCTAGGGTCATGCTTAAAGTGTATACAATACTAATATTCTTGAAAGTTTATTAGTTTCCTACTACTTTAATTCTAAAATTTATGCTTAATGGTTTTTTTAACTATTAAGAGTAACTTTCTCTTCCCTGTGTGATGGTTTCCCCAAATCTGATCTTCAGAATGTTTAATATCAAGCAGTTGCCTTTTACTCACTTCCCTACACCAAGTAAAAGCTAGACTTCATAACTCTGATTCGCTGTATCAAGACAGCATTTCTGTGTTTTTACATTCTCTGTCCAGCCTACTTATTCCATCCTTTCCTTTCTCTACCCTTCCTCCCTCCACCCTTTGAAGGTTAATGAGCTAGTGGTCAAGGAAATAAAAAAGAGACGTTGGATCAGTAGCCAAGAATTCACTATATTAAAATTCTTAAATTTGTTTCACACAGGCTTTGTCCGAGTGTGCAGTGACGCTGAAGACAATTCATCTCAAACGGGTAAGCTTGGGACTCCCTGCCCACTGGTTCCCATCTCACATGTGTATCTGCTGTGGTCTTGTGTTTGACTTACTTTTGAAAGCTGTATCTCTTATACAAGGTAGTTAACTTCAGTCCTGCCTGTTTAGGGTTTGAGGGAATACAGGATCCATTATTGTGCTTCATTTTATAGGCAACGAGAAGGTTAAAAAGTTATCTTTTCATTTGACAGAGAATGTGAAGAATCTAAAACAGAATATCAAATTCCAGATTTCACAGTCTAGTAGGCTCTTCACAGCAAGATTTCTCCAACTTCTAGTATTGCACACGGCCAGAGCACTTTACTACTTGAGAGTGTCCTGTTTTTTCTTGTCAGTCTAATCAATTGTGTAAATCATAAGTGATTCCAGGCTGAATTTAGTGGTGTGCTATTTGTCCTATGTGGCATTTTTCCATAAGTTGAAGTGATTGCCAATGTTTAAAACTCAGTTTCTTTTTTTTTTTTTTTTTTTAACAAATTCCAGTCTCCACCTTCTCCCAAAGCCAGGATGTCAGTACAGCACTGGCCCCCCACATAGCTGCAGTCTGCTAATGAGTGGCAGCTCCCCTCACCCCTAAAAAAGCATGAGCTCTCTCATTCATCAGTCTCCATTCAGCGCATTCCTCATTTAAACTTGATTTTTTTATTCTGATAGGGATTTGAAGGGTCTTCAACTCAGTAGCATTTTCTCTATGCCTACTGTGTTACAGGTTAAGGGTTATGCACGTTAGGGCTGTGGAGGCAACAGAGGAGCTGTATAAAGATGAGTTAAAGGTTCTCCGTTATTTGTGGAGCTTATTTAGAAGCAGGGGAGATCATGCATAAATAAATAGCGTAATGGGCTGGATTAAGTAAGTGCTTGCATAGAGATATGTTAATAGACCTGTATTAAATGAAGTATTTTAGGACTAAAGATAAAGGAGCAGTTTTGCCTAGGAGAACAATCTAAGAAAGCCATTAGAGGGAGGAAATTTCTTTCTTTCTTTCTTTTTTTTTTTTTTTTTTTTTTTGGTAGACCTTAAATATAGATTTATTAAGCTAGAAAGAGGAGCTGCCATTCTGGCAAAGTTAAGTCATTGCATGGTGGATACGGTAGAAAATAGCATTAACATGTTTAGCTAAAGTATGGAGGTGGAAGCAATAGCTAAAAACTGAAATGGGACTGGGTGTGTTCTGTGTGAACTGTTGGGAAGTTACTATAACCCCAGGAAGCAGTGGGGTTATAATTTAGGATAGCTAGGTGGGAAGAAATCATCAGAGAACAGTTTGGAATATGGGCCTGAACCAGTTAGGACTAAGTATTGATTTAGGAGTCCCAAGTATGTAGTTAGTCAAGGTGAAGTGAGACTTTGTAAGAGCAGGACAGAGAGAACATTGGCTAAAGGGGAAACTAGAAGTAGAACCAAAGGTATAGAAGCTAAGGGAAGAGTCACAGGAGAGCTGATGGGTTGACATTATTGGGTGCTGGAGAGTCAAGGAGGATGAAGAATGACCCCAAAAAAGGTTAGAGTGATATTTACTGTACAGGAGTATTTCTCTTGTCCTTAGAAGCTCTCATTTAGATACGGAGAATTGATCAAATGGAATATTGTATTTGAAAATGTTTTGCTTTATTCTTTTTTTTTCTTTCATTTATTCACTTGATTTCCTCTTGAGGTACAAGTTTACTTTTCTCAATTGAAAAATGTTAAAACAAGCATACTTCATTCTTTTTACATTTTCATTTGTTTGTTTGTTTGATTTATTTTCAGACAGAGGGAAAGGGAGGGAGAAAGAGAGGCAGAGAAACATCAGTGTGTGGCTGCCTCTCACACACACACCCCCCCCCACTGAGGACTGGGCCCACAACCCAGGCATGTGCCCTGACTGGGAATCAAACCAGCAGCCCTTTGGTTCACAGGCCAGCGCCCAATCCTCTGAGCCATACCAGCCAGGGCTTCACTTCATTTTTGAGTAGTCGAAGAACTTGTGCACATGACTCGTGGACATGAACAATGGCGGGGGGATTGCCTGAGGGGGTAGAGGGTGTTAGGTGGAGGAAGGTAAGGGGAGAAAATTGGGACAATTGTAATAGTATGATCAATTAAATAAATAAAGCAAGTATACTCCATCTTTGGGTGATTGCAGTGGTTACAAGAGATGACGAGCGGTGTGTGGGCAGTTAAGTTTAGGGAGAAGACAGTAAAGACCAAGGTGAGGAGTGTCGAGGGACCCGAGAAACTGGCGCAGTGAAATGTTTTCTCCTGTCAGTTGGAAACGGGCTTCCTTTGAAGGCTGGTTAAACTGTGACCTAGACCCATTGTGGGTCAGAGGGCCCAAAAATCAAGGGAGAAGAAAAAGACATGAAGACACCCTTTGATTCGGGAGCAGTAGCACTAAACAGGAACTCAGGTGTTAATGCGACAAGTGTTACAGAGAGATGGATTGATTTCATTTTGGTCACTGTCACTTTCAGTTGGACCTGGTTGGGGTCATCAAGATATCCAAGCCCTTAAGTCAGATTCAAGTTTAAAAGTGAAATTAGCTTTTTATTTTTTAAATATTGGGTTTATTACATTTCCTTGAAACCACTCTCTCAAAAACAGTTTGCCATGGGAAAACCATTTTCAAATTGTATCCTAAGTTCCATTGTAGTTGCTGAGAAAGGGGTAAGAGAGTTAGGAGTTAGTTTGTGGAATTTTTCTGTCTTCCCTTCACCAAACATACCCCCAAAATGCCCTAGAAAACTGTTGTTAGTTTTTAGCATTTAGAAATCTAGAAGGTGGCGGTGAAGAGCAGTGGTTTCAGGAGTCAGGTGACCTGCTTTTTAGTGCAGGTTCAATCACAGCAGATTGAGCAAATAATCTGTCTTTCTAGGTGTTGGTTTCCTCACCTGTCTACTAAATTCCTTTTCCCTAGATTGTGAGCGGAAGAAGGAAGGTGTACTTTTGTTGCTGTTAGCTCCAAGCATATCATTTTGTGCTTTCTTGCTTGTATTTTAGTTTCTAAAGACAGTCATTACTCTGGCACCACCAAGAGGCTCGTGTACCCACAGATACCCTGTCGTCCACCCAGTGGTGGAGGGGACAGGAGCACCTCTCTTCCCAGCCCTGCCAGTTCATGGAAGTCTCTTGCATTGTGACCTCCTGCATGTAGAGTATTGGTTTAATCTTTAGGACGACCTAACACAACAAGGAATGTTAACATGTAGTAAATATTAAAGCTTTACATTTCTCAACTCACCCAATCCACACAATAACTCCATTTGTTAGATGGAGAAACTGAGGCTCAAAAAAGTTAAAAGTAACTTGCTCAAGTTACCAGAAATCTGCCAGAGCCAGGCTTCAGAACAAAGGAACTGGTTTCAGAGTCTGTTCCTAATCACAACACCTTATTGTATTTAAAGTATACATATATTGTTCCAGTTTCTTTTGAAGATATATTAATGTCATGGAATAATCTGATTTAATCATCTTTTTTTTTAAGATTTTATTTATTTATCTTTAGAGGGGAAGGGAAGGAGAGAAGGAGAGAAACATCAGTGTATGGTTGCCTCTCGTGAGTCCCCTGCTGGGAACTGGCCTGCAACCCAGGCATGTGCCCTGACTGGGAATCGAACCGCAGGCCCATGCTCAATCCACTGAGCTACACCAACCAGGTGATTTAATCATCTTTTCATTTTTCAGGGCCCAGAATGTGTTCAGTATCTTCAACAAGAATACCTGCCTTCCTTGCAGGTAGCTCCAGAGATAATTCAGGTAAGAGCTATCCTAGCAGATTTTCCTCTTAATTTAATTAAAGAAATGTGACTGTAGTGCAATCAATGTTTTCATTGAAGAGGGCCACGCTGCATTCAACTTGGTGCTTCACTATATATTAGGGTAGCAAGTGCCTGGACTTCAGAGGGTCTGCAAAAATGCGTGGAAAAGTTGTATTTTTATTCTCACCAACCTTGAACAGAAATTCAATTTCTGTCATTGTGTAGTATCACAGTAGTGTTCACATTGCTGTGACTTTGTCACCAATAGAAAACACAAATATTTTTGTATCACACTAGTTCCAAAGATCTCAAAATATTGCTTACACTCAATATTTTGAAATTATGAGTTAAGATATGCCACTAGACCTTGTTACCTGAGTCTGTAAATCGTATTCTACCACGTCAAAATATTTTTGATCACCATAATTCATTAATAGTTTCCTTTGTAATCTCATGTATTGAAACACTCTGAAATGGGCTTAGTAGGCAACCCCAGACTGCCAAAGCAGGGACCAGGGCACACAAATCTCTCCCGAGGTTTTGTGTCAGGTCATTCATTTTATACATGCCACACTTATCCATGCTTCATTTGTAAGTCAAACTGTATTTTGAGGTAAGAGGCTGGAAAACTGTATCACTTTTGCACTATTAGGCTTTTTTAATGAGTTAGTTATTTTCTTGGCATATATTTACCCAGACTTCTTGTCCTATAACAAACACATAGATCTAATGGGTTATCAAAGTTCTGATTAAAACTAGAGTTAGAGCCCTGACCCGTGTGGCTGAACTGGCTGGGCGAAGTCCCGAAAAGCAAAAGATACTGGTTCAGTTCCTGGGCAGGGCCCGTGCCTGGGTTGTGGGTTTGGTCCCCAGTTGGGGCAAATATGAAGGGCAATGGATTGATGTCTCTCTTCTCTCTTCCTCCCTTCCCTTCTCTCTAAAAATAAATAAATAAAATCTTAAAAAAAGAAAAACTAGAGTTAGACTCTATTGTGTAGATTCTAAGAATTGTTTCCTATCAACAGTGATTTACAATGCTGTTTTATAAGAGGGTGATTTATATTGCTCTTTTATAAGAGGCATTGAAAAATTAACAAGTCAGCTAGCTCTTATATAAATGTGAGTAATCATAAAACTCATTTTTAGTGAATGTATGCTCTCATGACACATCATCTTTAATTTGAGAGATATTAATTTTCTATTATTTTCTAAATTTAATTTATTTATCTTTAGAGGGGAAGAGAAGGGAAGGGAGAGAAATATCAACGTATGGTTGCCTCTCACGTGTCCCCTTCTGGGAACTGGCCTGCAAGCCAGGCATGTGCCCTGACTGGGAATCAAACCGCGATCATGTGGTTCACAGGCCCGCGCTCAGTCCACTGAGCTACACCAGCCAGGGTGAATTTTCTCAGTTATTATAAGCTAATACTTTATATGCAAACAATAAATTACTGATTACTCGTGTGATCTTAATGTGCATTAAAATAGAAATGTCATCTGATTCTGAATAGCTATTAGTTTCCCAGATTGCTAAATGAAGCAAAATTATATTTCTGTTTAATCATTTAATTATAAAGGATAAGGCACTCTGGTTATCCCTTTTTCGGATGTCTTCTGACAACGTGTTTTGCAGATTTCTTTTGGAGATACTCTTTCGTTTGGTCTGTCTTTGCTCCATTCCCTACTAGGTGAGAACAGCCATATAGTAAGGTAGTTTTTCTTGCTTAGGCATGAATCAGCCTTGTCAAGGAGAGCCTTGTTCTCAAAAGGGAAAGCAGCCTATCTGACAAGTGTTCAATTTGAGAATACTATACCTTTTTGGTGAGGAATTATTCAGGTTAATTTTGAGAAATTATGACTACTATAGATTCGAGGCAATGCAAATGTCCGTGACAGATGAGTGGGTGATAGAATGTGATATATACACACAATGGGATATTATTCAGCTTTTAAAAAGGGAAATCCTGTTATATGCTACAACTTGAATGAATCTTGAGATCATTCTGCTAAATGAAATGAGAAAGTCACAAAAAAACAAATACTACAAAATTCCACTTATATGAAGTATCTAAATTAGTCATACTCTTAAAAACAAAGTAGAATAGTGATGGCCAGAGGCCGGGGTTTGGGAGAGGGAAAGGGGAATTGTTCAGTGGGCTGGGTTTCGGTTTTACAAGATGTGCAAATTCTAGGCGCCGGTTGCACAACAGTGCGTATAGTTAATGCTGTGGTCCTGTGCGCATAAAAGTGGTCAAGATGGTCAATTTTATGTTTTTATCGCAATTTTTATTTTAAGATTTTATGTATTTATTTTTAGAGAGAGTAGAAAAGAGAAAGAGGGAGAGAAACATCAATGTGTGGCTGCCTCTCACATGGCCCCCACTGGGGACCTGTTCTGCAACCCAGGCATGTGCCCTGACTGGGAATTGAACCAGCGACCCTTGGTTCACAGGCCAGTGCTCAGTCCACTGAGCCACACCAGCAGGGCTTTTTTTATTACAATTTTAAAACAGTGCTGTGCATTTGAATTATGAATTTAATAGAAAAGATTCATTTTCTTTCCTTCTGGCCCCCCAGGAGTTTTGTCAAGCACTTCAGCAGCCTGATGCTAAAGTTTTTAAAAACTACTTAAAGGTAGGTATTTGGAAAACTTAACCTATCTTCATATAACTAGATGATGTTTCAGAGCCAAGATAGTAGATATCATAGGATACCATGTCATACTCTAGTTTGACCAACTATTACTTACTTGGGAATTACTTACTTGCTCTAAAACCTGCTTCTAAGAATCTTTAGTTATAGATGTTATACTTCAGTCTTCCTGTGAAACCCCTTTCAAGTGAGCGATCATAGATAGTTAAAAACTCTGAATGCGTGTGTGCCTGAGCATTTGGTATGAACATGGAGCTGTCTTTTAGAGTTTCATGACTTAATGAAATCGGAACTGGAGCATTGGGAGAACAAGTAATGCTTAAGAACAGTTGCCCATATTGGGTTGAAAGGAAGGAGCTAAAAATACAGAAACAGAAATATGAATTACTTGGTTATATCCTATCTTGAAACTTTGAATTGTGAAACAAACAGACAAAAAGAAGAGTTTTCATATTTGGCCAGCAAGACTATACATTTGTATGATCACAGAATTTTTTAAAACCCTCCAAGTTTGAGGAAGTGCCAAATGTTTATTTAGTATCATATTAATAATAAAAAATTTGAGACAACACTGTCTTGCTTTTGCCTAAGGAGTCAGCCATTCGGTGCTCTGTGGTTGCTTTTTATGGCACAGATACCAGGCCACCTGCTGCAAATGCCAAAATGAGTGACTTTCCCTGCCCACAAGGAGCTTGTGGACGGGAATAAGATTACAGTGTGACAGGGTGAGGAACCGTTCTTTATTTGTATTTATTACCTTCATTCAACAAATCTAAGGAGAAAGCACTATGCTAAATGTCTTGATAGCAGGTAATTGAATGAACAGCTGCCTCGTTCTTTTGCCCAAGGCACTTAGTAGAATTTACAACTCAAGGGGCTTTGTGAGTAGGCAAGTGTGCCGTCCTTTCACTTGGGTTCTGATCTCTTCCCTTGTTAGTTTTTTCCCCAGTAGTGGTAGTTTGTCGGCCTCAACTGACAAGAGACTTTGAGAGAAGAATGTTGAGAGTTACTGTTTATCTAACTAGCATCCTGAACTCTCCCACTCCCATTTCCCCATAAAAGCAAAGTGTCTATGATGGTGACCTATTAAATACCTGATTGATTAGACTGCATTGAAGAACTCAAAAAGTTGTAACTCTCCATTAGAGGTATCAGTAGATCTGTGTACATCGTAGCAGGGTTATGCTCCACAAACATAAATTTATCCAAACAGCTTTCTCCAAAGTCCAGTTTCTCTGGGCGATAGCATTAAGTCAATGATAATTGGAAGAAATGACGTTCCTCCTTTCATGCCTATTCTCTTCATACCTGATCGATTCCCAGATCTTGCTGACTCTTCCTCCTCACCCACTTGCTGTCCCTTCCTTTCTGTCTCTAGTACAGGCTTGTTACCCCACTGCTCTTGTTCTAGCCCATCAGGTCTATATGAAAACATTGAACAGTCCCCTGAAATTCATTCCCCTCCCTCACAATTTTCATAAGCCTGTTGTAGACTAAAAACAAGTTCATGTTTCTTAGTTTGGCATTCAGGAATTTTTTTCTTTTTATACTCTGATCTCTGGATTTCTCTCACAGGAATGGTCTTTTACCATTCTTGCTGTTCTTCAGGAATTCTGCCTTGTTAGTACCCCTACTCCTTCATGAATTCTACCCATTCTTCTAGGCTTACGTGAAGCATGACCTCCTTATAAGGCTTTCTTTTGCTCGAATAGTGACCATTCTTTTCTCTCTGCTTAGTCAGTAGACTGTGTTGTTAAATGAATGCCTGGTTTGTTAGTGCTGAGGATACAATGATCAATACAGTTCTTACCCTTAGTGAGCTTACTGCCTACAGTTTACTCTTTCTAGTGCTCTCTCAACATGTGCCTGTGGACTGCACCGTGTAATACTGGGCCAGTGCCTAGCACAGCCTCTTGCCTACGTGTTCATAGTCTCAAACGCTGAAAGTATTTTTTTACAATCGAACAGTAAATTCCCTTAAGGGATAACAACTTCTGTCTGTAGCTTTGACTTGTTTATTCCTCAGAATTTAATCTTTCAGCGTTAACTTAGACGGTATATGCCCATCAGCAAAACGTGTGAGGAGTGTTTTCCTCTGGCCACTTGGACCTCGCAGTGACGGCAGCCGTTCCATATTTTCACCAGTTTCTCAGCTGAGCGTTGTCAACATGTTATCTTTAGACTTTATCAAACTGTCCAAAAGAGAAAGCTCTTAACTTGTATTAATGTGTGGATTTATGATATGAGATGTTTTAAGTACCTACTGGGTTTTACAAAAGAGTAACTAGCACTCAGTAACTTACAGCCATTCTTCATGTGAAATGTGGTGCCTTCAGACATCAGTACTAACTGTGCTAATGCTTTATTCGCAGATGTTCTTCCAGAGAGCAAAGCCCTAGGAACTGGATCTCCCTGTGCCTACTTCATAATCAGGATTTATGATCAGAAATTCCAGTTAATAATTTATAAAGAAGCAGGTTTTGTGTGCCATTCACACTGCTTTTTAACTTGGCTTTGAGCTTACTGCAGTATGTGTATGTATTGGGATTTTTCTGTAAAATGTGTGTAATTTTCCCTAAATAACAGATATGTGGCAACAAGAAGTGGCTTGCATGCCAGTTCAGATTGTTTTATGTAAAAATGCTGTTAAACGATTCAGCAGAGTTATCCTAGTACGTTTTTATTTTCATTTGAAACTTTAAGTCCTCTTAAAGACCATAGCCGGAAAACAGAGTACTTTTTTAAAGTTGCTGAATGAATATAAAATGTTTGGGAATTTAATTTTTCTTTTATGTGTGTAGACTCAAACTATGGGGGAACTACAAAGATCAGAACTACTTTTTTGTAGATAGCCATTACATTTCTTTAAAATGTTTCGATGCCAATATGTATTCTACAGAAGAGAATGGTTTCATAAATTAACTGATTTAAGAGTAGGTGCCGGTGTTATACATTTTTTTATAAAAAAATAAATTTTACATAGTGAATTTACCAAGTGTTTTTTGGAATTATTATACATACTTTAGCCATAGTTTTTTGTCTTACCTCTCCCTCATTTCCCATTTAAAGGATTGCAAATATAAGCTTACAGATGACTTATTTAATTGTATTATGCTCCTAAAAGATTATGCGCTCCTTAGTTCTGTTAAATAGAATCTTTTAAAAACCGGCCTAGAAAAAGCCTGTGTGAATTTGTTGACAGAATTAAAAATCCAGTATGTTCTACCTCTGCTATTGGATCTACTTAGGGCACAGTATACATACGTGTTTGTGGTATTTATAAGTAGGCGCTGCCCATTTAGTTACTAGAAAACCTTTCCCTGTCTTCTCCTGGTTTTATTCATGACTGCAAGAAAGCAAGAGGAGAAACAATAGTATCGATAGTCGTACTGGAAAATTAAGAAGGACAACACTGAGTAGCACAATTACTATAGTCACTTAAGTTTAAATTCTAATAGTCTAAGTAAGCTTGAAGGGGAGGGTTGGGTGGTGGTTTTTTTAACCTTTGGCCAATATGGCTCCTAGGGGCTTCATGGACAGGCTTCAGGGGTGTCTAAACGTCCTAAAATTATATTCTAAATTGTGCACATATCCCTCTTTCTCCCTCCTCCTCTCTGTAAAAATTAATATTTTTTTAAAAATAATCGTGAACATAAATCTTCTGGGGTTAATTCCAGAAGAGATTTTAAACATTTTCCTTACATCATAGAATAAAGGTACTAAACTAAGTTGACAGTTAATTGTAAAACTAGATCAGTAGAATGTAAAACTTCAATAACGATGTTTTTAAAAATAGATGAGTGAAAGCTGATGGTTTTGTTGATAAGTTCCCTTGTACTGTGGGGGAGATAATTACGCTATTGCAATAGTACTAATTGTCCAAAATATACTAATGAGTAGCATAGCATAGTGTGAAGAGCACAGGCTCGGGATCCTGATTAAATAGGTACAAATAACAGTTCCACCAGTAACTGGTTGTGGAACCTTAGGCAAATTCACTTCTCCCTCCAGTTTCCCCATCTGCAAAATACGAGAAATAATGGTAGCTACCTCATAACTTAAGAATTTAAGAAGTTAAACATGAAAAGAGCTTATTATAGCACCTGCCCATGAAGGCCTGGTATTAGCTATGGTTACTGTGTTGTTAATTGCGCATATGTAGACACCTGCTCCTTCCCCCCCTTTAAAGCCCTTCAAAAGGTTCACGTGTGTTCAGAGCTAAGCGAAATCAAGACGTGGACATTAAGGGTGTAGTAGAAATTAAACTTTATGTTCTGTGATCATGTATAATTCCTATCTTCATTCCCTGAAGTTGCCCAGAGCATTTATGGAGTACTACAGCAATTAGGAAACTTCCATCATGAATTAACTTACTTGTATTTTACTAAGTTCCAAAAGCAAGCACCCAAATAATTGTCACAAGGGTGAATCTCAACTATTAACAGGTGAGATAACATCGAGGCAAAAAAACCCTTAGGGATGTGTGACTTGACTCCGTAACCACCAGGGTTTTATGATGCCTGGCTTAGTGCTGTGCCTAACAGGTTATTTAAATCTTAAAGTAAATGCTAACTCAAATTGGTTCTTAAGTGGCTTACCTTTAAGAAAACGGGTTTTTCTTCCCCTGGCTGGTGTAGCTCAGTGGATTGAGCGCGGGCCTGCGAACCACATGGTGGTGGTTTGATTCCCAGTCAGGGCACATGCCTGGGTTGCAGGCCAGTTCCCAGCAGGGGACCCACGAGAGGCAAGCATACATTGATATTTCTCTCCCTCTCTCCTTCCCTTCCTCTCTAAAGATAAATAAAATCTTTTTAAAAAGAGAGAAGCATTTAAAAAGTAAAACGCTGGTATTTCAATGTGTATCAATTACGTGGAAAATACGTAAATAAATGCCTTGGGCTCAGCTAATCACTTCTCATAAGCTTTGAGCTGTGGGCTTTACTGTTGTAAAGAACTTTGACACAGGACCATAGAGTTAGACATGGGAAAACTGGTTGGAATTGTAAGTAGTGAATAGATTTGTTTGTTCGAATGTTTCCATCATTTAAACATTGTTTAAAAGTCTAATAAAGTAACCTCCTTTGTAACAATGCATTACAGTGGGCTTTTGTTAACGCCATTGTACATATAACAGACTTAAGTAAACGACAGAACAACAGAAAAACATGTTTAAAGTTCAGTATTTGGCAATGCAACTAGAGTTAGAACAGCAACCCCAGGTCTGTTCCATTCAAAAGCCTCTGCTCTTAACCACCCCGCCGAGGTTTCCCATTTCATTGCCGGTTGCTGAAGTTCTCATCTGGGAGGATCTAGATCAGCGGTAGTCTATGGCCTTGCCTTCTGTTGAGACGGCTGCCTTGCTGCCAGTTGGCAAAAGAATCAGCCTAGAGTCAGCCTAGAGTCAGCCTAGAATCAGCCTGGATGGCTAGCTGCCTGAGATCCTGACGGCACGAATACTACTGGACCTGATTTTAATCCTTAATCTCTCCAATACTGTCATTTTCCAAAATGCCACTTGAAAGAGGGAATTAGCTAATTTGTTAAGACTTCCACGTGTTAATATTCATCAGTGATAATCTAGCTCCACTGCAGCCAACGTGGGCTTCAAAACATACAAATCAGTCCCTTCAGACTATGATATTCCCCAATGTCAGCCCCCACGTGTCCAGCACTTGGCACGGCGGTGATTTGACTGTCAAAACGAGTTCCATTCTGTCTTCCCCACTATCGACACACGCCACACTTCGGCTCTCCGGGACTGGGCGGGATTTGCAGTTGCGAGTATCTGAACCTTTGTGTTCATTGCGCAGGGCACCCTGGCTTCACCCTCAGAATAAGGAGGACAACGGGGTGGGGAGAGTCTAGCAGAGAGAGTGTAAACCAGGTCTGACTCCCAACACCCCCACCTTTCTCGCCACTACCTACAAAGCACTGACCAGCCTCTGGAACTTCGGGGGCGGAGGCCGGGCCCTCGGGCGTGCGCACGCGCACTCGCGTGCGCTGGCCGTGGGTCACGTGGCTCCCGGATAGGGTTTGGGAAGCCGGAAGTGCCCAGAGGCTCAACGAGGCCGCGGGAGCCGGCTGGAGGTGGTGCGGTGGCTACCCCGCGCGGTAAGTGGGGGCGGTCGTAGCTGGAAGGTTGGACATCGCGTAGGGCCGGAGCAGCCGAACCCCGCACGGGCCCGCACGGAGTGTTCCCCCCCTCTGTGGGAAACTGGCGTGCTGAGTCAGAGCGGGGGCGGGGCGGGTCGAGCGACCCCTGGAGCCCCTCGCGACTCGAGGCCGAGCCCTCCCAGTACCCTGGCTAGGCAGACACCCGGCCCCCTCCGGTGTCTGGGACGCCCGAAGCCGGGTGGGGTGGTCGCGCGGGCTCTGTGCCTTCCATCTGGACTCCGGGCCCTCTGACCAGGCCCTCCCGGGTCTAGCGACGCTGGACACGAAGAAGAAGGATATGTTGGTGACCGAGTCTGGGCCCTGGCCACCCAGGAGAAACGCTGGGCCCCTTCTCATGGCAGTTAGATTGGCCAGTTTGTACCCCCAATTTCCGAGCGTTGACAAAAATCGGCATTTTTATTTATTTGTTTATTTACTTATTCTTATTTATCGATTTTAGAGAGGTGGGGAGAAAGAGAAACATGGATTCATTGTTCCATATTATTTATGTATCTGTTGATTGCTTCTTGTGTATGTCCTGACCGGGATCACAACCTTGGCTGTGGGGAGGATGCTCTTAACCAACTAAGTTCCCGGCCAGGGCAAGATCGCAGTTTTTAAGTAGATTGGTTTTTTTCCAGATTAAAAACGTTTCATTAAGGTTTTAGTGATGATAACCAGAGGGGGGTTGACTCACGGGAAGCTAGAAGCTGAAGACGTTTTTAATATACGCACGTGTAATGGATCATACAAGTTCCCAAAGCATTTCCTGTGGGGAAATGGCTTGTAGGTTTGTTTTCCAATCCGCTTCCCAGGTGTTTTCAGTAAATGGCCCCAAACCAAGTTCTGCCCAGTAATTGGGAAACGCATAACCAAAGATTGGCCTTTTTCACTCAAGAACACCTCTTTAACAAATGATTCACACAGTAGTCGTTTGGAAATCCGGAAACTTTTTCTATCTGCCTATTCATTTATGAACAAATGGTAACTTTCGTTTTGGATAATATAAGGAAGTAGACTTGGCAAGGTCAGCATAACATATGTGTTGAGTGCCTGCCTCTAGTGTGTTGGAATTTGGGAGGACTTACATAGCAAGCACCGTGCGCATGTGCTGAGTCACGTTTTAGCATGCTGTTATTGGGGGGTTTTGGAAGGTAGTTTCAGAAGACATTTCCCCAGATTATTGTAAAACTTTAGGTTTATATCTGCATACAGAGGGCAGATATCTTAGCTGATAAATGTGTTTTATATTACCCACTAGGTACAAGTATGTATTACGTATTTGTATATTACCTATTTTATATTACCACTAGGTACCTATGATACTGTGAGTAGCTATCATACTATTTGCCACTTGCAGTCATTTCAGATAACGAAGTTAAGAAGGGAAAGTTTTTCATTACTGAAAAATAATTGAGAAGTTTATTACCTCACTAGCTGGCAAATGTGTATTTCTTATTTGTGAAAAGAAAATCTTATTTTTATTGCTGTATGAATTCTCTTATCTGAATTAGATGGCTGGTAAAATTACGTAAATATATCTTAGTATATCAAGTATTGCTGAAATTTAGACCCCTGGCCATTCTTTAAATTCCTGATTCTGCTTGGTGTATTGCTGGTCATTAATTCATCACTGACAACCTAGTCATTCTAACTTATTACAGAGGAATATTAAGCTCTGTTTTGATCTGACACTACAGCAGGTTTAAGGTGGCTTGATGAGACTAGTATTTATGCTATTTAGCATATCTCATTTTCATCCCAGCATAGAGCTCAAATATGTTTAGTATTATATAGCTTTTCAGTGTTATAGGGCAGTATCAAATGAGGTGGTGCTTTTTTTTTAAATTTATTTATCTTTAGAGGGGAAGAGAGGGAGAGAAATATTAATGTATGATTGCCTCTCCTGTGTCCCCTGCTGGGAACTGGCCTGCATCCCAGGCATGTGCCCTGACTGGGAATCGAACTGCAATACTCTAGTTTGCAGGCCCGCGCTCAATCCACTAAGCTACAGCAGCCAAGGTGAAATGATGGTTTAAAAAAAAAAAAAAAGACTTCACTTTTTGGAGCAATTTTAAGTTCTCAGCAAAACAGCAGAAGGAACAGAGATTTTTCCATATACTTCCTGCCCCAATGCATGCGTAGCTTCCCCTTGCTTATTTTTAAGACTTAGTAATATACATTAGGCATGTTTATATATATATATAGTTGGAGGTTGAAGAAACTGTCCTTAAATTAATTCAGAAGTATTAGTAACCTTTCAGAAATAATAATTTTGCACCTTTCCATTGTGACTGTCAGGCTCTGTGTAGATGAAATTTTAAGTTTTACGGGAAGTGTTATGCAGTGGCAGCGGTGGTTGTTTTCATTAGCGTTGCCCTGCCCTTGAAGGAAACAAAATAATTTTTACTATATTCTGTTATAGTCTACATTATTACTGTATTCTTAAGCGGGAAGGGAAGAGAGAGGGAGAGAAAATCAATGTTGCCTTCAGTCCCCTCCCTCGGTGCGCCTTCTCCACTACCACCAGCCAGGTATTACTGTATTCTGAAACACTTTAAACATAACTCATCTTTGATTAATTTTTCAAAACATTTGAAAAGGTGGCCAGTATCACTGTCATTGACAAAGATAAAATTAGGAGGGAAATAGATTTTTTCAGCCTTCTGATAAGTAAAGTAAATTGAATATATAAGGTGTCTTTGTTTAATGTTATTCAGAGTCCACACAGCATTTGATATAGCTGGAAACTTAGATTTTTTTCTACTTTGGACTTTTCATATACCTCCATTTAGGTATAAAAAAATAGATCTTAGTTGAGACTAAAAGTAGTTAACATTGGTTATTAAAATGTATTAGTCCCTTAAAACAAACATGCATATTTTTTTTCTTTTCTCTTAGTTTAACAAAGAGGATCACCTGACCAAGCCGAGATGCAGAGCACTTCTAATCATCTGTGGCTTTTATCGGACATTTTAGGCCAAGGAGCTACTGCAAATGTCTTTCGTGGAAGACACAAGGTTGGTACAGAGAAAACTGAAGGCTCTTAATCATTTTATGTGTACTCTTCTGGTCATTTTATATGTACTCTTCTGGGAAGCACACTTGCAGTAAAATATGGGACTTTCTGGTTTTTATATACTCTCTAAAGAGTATCTATTTTTGTGGTCTTTTAAAGGTATAGCTTATGTCAGAGGCAGTGCTATGTACTCAGTGGTGACAGAGAAGAACGGAAGTTTGGTTGAAAAAAGGGACTAAGGAAGTTGTGTTGTGCCTTTTGATTCTTTCCCCATCCTATCCCTCCAACGATTGCTTGTGAGTGATCTCGCTAACAGAAGTGCAGTGTAGCGGGTATATGGAATGGGGGTATTCGGGGGAGGCAGATCTTTAGTTTGGAGGGGAACCCATGCACCTTCTAATATGCTGTACAAAGGCTTCATGCTTCCCAGTAAAACAAGACAGATTATAGTAAAATGAGATTACCAACAAGGAGCCCAGGTTTAAAAGGGTCTATCTTTCTTTATATGATGAAGTAATTAGAAGTTGTTAGTGGAAGTGAGAATCAAATAAAAGGGCTAGTCCCAGAGGCACTTCTAGAGCCAAAAAAACCTTTGTGTCAGATTCTATATTCAAGAATTAAATTAAAGATAATTAAAATAATTTAAAAGGAAGACATTTAAGGTCATTAAAGTTTCTGTTCTGAGAAAGAAGCTAGAAGAATAATGGAGTTTAAAATCCTTTCATAGTACAAATAATCATCAATTAATTTTTCACCACTATGAATGTGTTTTGAGTAAATGCTGTTTAGAGCCTCCTAAATTCTTATTTTTAGAAACAGGAGCTTTAAACATTTTAGTAT